CCTCCCCCGACCGGCCCGACCCCCGAACCGCCCCCGTACCCGCCGACCGCGTCCCGACACCGCGCATCCCGCCCGACGGCCCGCGGCACGGGCTCGGAGAGGCGCGCGGCTCGGCGCTCCCGCCGAGAACCCGGGCGCCCGGGCGAGCCATTCGCCCCAGGAAGAGCACTCCTGCCCACCCGCTTCCCGTCTGGCTGCTCCGAGGTGTCGACGGCTCCTGGGACCCAGCCCCGCGCGCGGTGGCCAAGGCAGCGAGCGGGCTCAGGCTGGGGAACCGTGTGTTTGGGGTTTTCCTTTCCTCTCCTCTGGGCCGCGCGTGGCGCTTCCTCACGTTTCTGCGGCCCGTCCCTCTCTCCCGACCCTGAGTGTCGTCTGGGTGCCCGCAGGAAGATCTGACTCTCCGATGCCACCTGCCGCTCAGGTCCGCAGAAACCGCAGCACCGGTCGCAGACACCCCAAGACGGGCAGGGTAATCCAGTGTTTCCCGGTAAGCCGCTCCCTCTCCGCCCCGTCCTCAGTAAGGTTCCCGGAAGCTGACATTCCAGAGGTTTCTCCTGAAGTTCTTTCCCTCCTTTCCAGACAGCTGAGGAAGCAGAGCCGGTAGGTGAAACTCAGAAAAGCCATGGACTTGCCAAATTCTCCTCCCTGGGTCATTTGCCCCGCTAATCTCACTAACCATTAAGTGACAGGGACTAACGGTGGACGGTGGCCCTTCCTCCTCCCTGCCCCTAGCCTCCCTCCAGTCACCAGCTTTCGTGCTCTTCAATTATTGAGGAGCTGCAGTGTTGGCACTTCTCCGGTTTAAGGGCGGGGGTGGGGGTGAGGGCTCCCTATCAGGCCTTTGCCCAGGAGCTGGGCCTGCCCAGGGGCTGGTACATCAACCACCCAGAAACATCTTTCCCTTCCCCTTGCCCTCTCTCACTCTTCCACCTCCAGTTTCTCTTGAGCAAAAATATTAAAGAGTGCCAGAGAAAGTTGGACAGAAACTCACAAATAGGCCAACTGCGCAGTTAACAGCTCTCCTTCCCTTGTAAACAGTTTTATTCATTTTTAAGTATCATGCAGCAATCCGTAAATATTGCATCCTTGACGTCCCCACTGTAGTGTGCCCACGAGTGTACTCCGGGGAGCGAGGGGTCCACAGATGGCACATCAGTACACATACACTCACACACTCTAGATGTGCAGATCCTAAAGCAGAGTGAGTAACCAGCATGCCAAGATCAGGTGGACAGGATGCTGACTCTCCCCAGGTGAGATGGCTTTAAGTGTGTGTGTATCTGTGCCCAGGAGATGCCCCAGTGTGGGCATGACCTCTGGTGGGATGGAACTGGGTGGGGAAGGACAGAGGGCTCCATGTGGAGGCTGGGATCCCCACACCAGGAGAGCTCAGACCTTTGCAAGGCAGGAAGGAGCCACAGGCCTCCGATTAGTCTATGCCCTCCTGTGCGAAGTCAGGCTCCATCACATTCTCTCTGAGTCAACTGCTTACTACGTGGCTGTCTCCAGATGATGGAGGGGCAGCTGCCCTGTTCCCTGATCAGGCTGAGGACCAGCCCCTTTGGACGGGATATTTCTGCTTGTCAAAGAGCTAAATGAGAACAAAGGGGATGGGGTGGGGGAGAACGCACTGTCTGACAAAGAAGGAGTGAAGGGCCATTTCTAACCCACGTGTCTTGGTTATGGAACCAAGGCCTTGGGGAATCTCTCTGAGCCTCTTCCTGGAGAAGACACAGATCCTCCAAGGAGGGGTGAAGACAATGGCTTCCTCCTAGGGTTCCTGGCCACCATGGCTGCTGTTTTCCTGCGTCTCCATCATCTCAGGTGATACCACACTGTGACTACTACCTGCCGGGAGGGAACGGAGGTGGGTCTGTGGGCCACTACCCCAGGCTACGGGGAGCCCCCCATTCCCTAGTGCTTCTGGGGCTCAAACTTCAAGGAAATGAGGAAGTGGGGTTATTGCTCAAATCTTAAATACAGAAGGGGCTATAAGAATGTTCGGAGGAAGATAGGACATTAAGTGGGGCCTGAAACAGCAGAGTCCGCTGCAGGATTTCTGAGAGGGTGGACGTGGGAACCCGAGACAAGCTTAGATTCAGGCCTGGCTCCTGGAGGGTGGGTGAGGACAACAGGCCTCCCCAAGCAGGGCAGACAGAGGTGCAACCCCCGGGCAGCCTGAGGGCCACCACCCGCCTGGCGGTGCAAAGAAGCCACGCAGAAGGTGCAGAGGATTCCCGGGGCACCGGGCTCTCTTTGAGGCTGTGGAAACAACCCTGAAAAGCTCTTCTAGGGAAACGATTTCAAATATGAAGACATGCCGTCGTGATGGGCGCAGCCAAGGCTCTGCCGCATCCCAGCCTCACAAACGGTCAGATCCGACTTTGCTTCCCAATCTCATGCTCCATTAAACCAGCACCTCTTCCAAGAGCCAGTAGCCAGTGCATTATCAGAGGGCTACGTGGACTCCATTGATAACACCAGTGTTGAGAGAGGAGGAAGACCCAACAGCTTACAGTCTGGCCTTGCTGTTCCGGGCTGTTATTTACATGCCCGACACCGGGCTGCAGTGGCGTGGGCTGCAGCGGGCACATGATTTGAACAACAGTATCTCTAAATCTCTAATGAGACTATGGAAGGCAGTATCTCCCCCTTCCCTCATTGGGCTCAACAGATCTGGAGGGCAGGGAAGGAAATCAGGTGGGGTGGGGAGGCTCCCAGACCACCGCTGTCCCCAGCTCAGCCGTCCCCCAACTTCTGACACTGACTGAGCCGAACTGCTCCACCCTCTCTCTCAGCCAATTTCTTCAACTGTTAAGGGCGTGAAAGAAAAAAAAAAAAAGAAAGGAAAAAGAAAAGGGAGTGGAGACAGGGACAGCAGGAATCAGAATACCAACTGATGGGGCAGTAGTGATGAAATGTGATCACATACGGCAGCTCCTAACACGTGCCTGGCACATAGAGAGGGTCAAAAAGTGTTTTTGTAATGTCACCTGATCATAAATAACTCTCCGTGGGGGGATTCCCAGATTCAAGGCCTCCTTCCTAAGCAGACAGACATGAGGCACTGGCTCTGCTACCAGAAGCAAGAACTGTTTTGCCAACCAGCCCCTGTTTCTTGTCCTTGAGAAAGGGGCTCCTACTGCTTTCTGAGGGAAACTCCACTTACAGTGCAATATGGCTTTCCCTTCTCGCAGGAGTCACCTCCCAACCCCCACCACAAATTGGAGGTTTCAAATTGGCTATGATGTCCCAGAGACCAGAAAATGCCAGGTGGGTGTTTGTAATGAAGCCACCGAAACTCTGAGGCTTCTTGGTCTCCCCACCAAGGAGAAAAACAGACGCACAAGAACAACCAGTCTGTGGATCTCGGCTCCCCCTGAAGATCAAGATACAGTGAAAACGTTCCAGAGGGTCTCTGCCAAGGGTTCAGGAGCTGCAGTTCATCGAGTGGCGTTAGCCCATAAGGAGAAAGGAGGCTTCTGGTCCCTTCTGAGAGGGGAAGGATGACGGTTACAGAAGATGAGGCTGGGAGGAGGAGCATCCCGCTCTCACGTGGGTATGAAAAGTCTCCAGGTGTCTTGCTGAGGATGCCCAGGAGGTCAGCAGTGCAGCGAGGCCAGGAGGGGATTCGAGGGCAGGAGGGGAGCCCTGGACCAGGGGCTGGGGCTCTCAGACGGCCAAGGGACCCCACGTGCAGGGCCTGTTCTCGGGGTCCTCCAGGCTGCCAGATGACGAGCGCCGGCGCTGTGTGTTCCGACGACTGGCGACGTTGTCATCCACCTGCCAGGCACCTGAGGAGGGGAGAGGAGTGTCATAGGAGCTGGACCTTCAGCTCGGTCCAGGCGTGGTCCCCAGCAGGGCAGCCCGGGAGTTCGGCAGGAAAGCTGGCAGGATGCGTGCTACCTGGAACTCCCAGGGTGTGCAGCCCGGCCCTGGAGAGGGAGAATGGGGAGCAGTGGCCGCCGCTGGGCGAGGTGCAGTCACGGCTGCTGTGGTCCACTGATGGAAGGACACGCAGGATGACCCTGTTTTGTGCCCCAGGACCCACTCCGGCATCTTTATTTGGTTTCGAAGTTGGCCTACGTGTCATGGTGGACAAGGAAAAGAAGCTGGGTCTAGCTGAGATTTTTTCATGTGGGCAGGAGGAAGTAGGGGGTTGTAAGAAGAGGGTTCATGGAGGCTGTGAGTTAAGTGTTTGCTGTGGGGGTCCGAGGGAGGGGACAGGAAGTGACTGGCCGCCCAGCAGGGGACCAGGGACCGCCCAATGGCATAGGGGAAGACAGTGTGATGGCTCTTCCTCTCTTTCTACACCTAAACGGCCTGCTGAGGTTTGCTATCAGCCCCAGGAGACTTTAGCCCCACAGCTTTGGGGTCCCGCAGGTGCCGTCCACTAAATTCATCCTCCTCCCCCAAATCCTACAGCCCCTGCACCAGAAGCACTGGCTGCCCATGCTGGAAACCAGCTCTTGGTGCTTCTCCCTGCTGTGTGCTCTGCATCCGATCCATCACGACCTCCTGCTTGTTCACTTCCTCAGCATGTCTAAATCTGCAGCCAGAAAACCTGGGCACACCCCCAGTTTATTACATATTGACTGCGTGATCCTGGGCAGGTCATGGTACCTGGAGCCCTGGTTTTACTGTCCATCCAATGGGAGAGGAGTACTTACCCCACAGGGTGCCTGACTCATAGAACGTGCTCTACAACCAGCCACACACTCCCCATCCCTGTCTTTGTTCAGGCCACCCTCATCCCCGCTGCCGTTGTCCTCCCAGCCCGCAGACTGGCTCCATCCAACTCATCCCCTCCTGTGCAGCAAGAAGCTCCTGAGTTGAAGAGCAGGGTCATGGCTGCCCACATGCTCAGCATGAAGCCCTAACTCCCTGGGGTTGAGAAAAGCCTCCCATCCTCTGGCCGGACAACCTCTGAGCCGCATCTCCCAGCACCTGACCTCACAAGGCCCCCTCAGCCGGATGGGGTCCAGCGTGCTCCAGAATGCTCCCCTGCAGCCTGTGCTGCCACCCTGCTTCTCACACTGCATGGAAACTGCTGAATTCTCGACCTCCTCCTGGGCAGGGCCCAGAGCAGCACCTGGCCCATCAGAGGACTTGCTCCATGCACCGAGCTGACAACCTGGAGGGCGGGCCTGGGGCTCCCTGTGTTCATGTGTGAGGAGGGCCGCTCACGAATGTCTGGGGTCAGTCTCAGGTAGACCAGCCCAAGACATGAAACCCTTTAATGGCAGAAACACTGGGATTAAATGGGTATAAACTGCTTATTTCCCGTAAATGTCCTGGTGGGATAATCCATCCTAGGGCTCTGTGGAGGTGGACCCCGGGGGAAGAGGAGTGAGTGGAACAGGAAATTCGTAGGCATCTCTCCCAGCCAGATGGAATGTGGGGACCTCTGTACCCCTGGGGGTACCAGTCGGGGACAGGTCAACAGTGCTTTTCCCCTTGAAGGGTGGCACTGTGAAGCAGGATGAGAGAAGAGAAGGCAAGGCTGCCCTTCAAGTTAGGAACCCCCCACATAAAATGAGCTGTTTGTTCATTTACATAATTTGGTAGATCTCATACCTATTCCTCAATGTTTATGGGGCAGGACTCCGGGAACTGCGGCTGTTCGGTAGGAAAGACCAAAAGCAAATGGTAAACGAGAGAGAAGACACACATGCATGCACAAAGTTAACACGCCTCTGCCACCACCGCGCCACTGCAGGCACCCTGCCGCGACACACGACCGTTGGGCTGCCTGGCCCTGAATTCTCACGAGTCTTTGCTACAAATGCCACCATCCCAGACCCTGAGCCAGGGCCCAAACTGGCTCCTTCTGAAACAGCCTCAAGACCCAGATCTGAGGTCTCTATCCTCCCCTGGCTTCCTGATACACTCAGTGGCACCCTTTCCTTCAGAAAGTCCCCCGACGGGCCTGGGCAGAACCTCGCTGCTCAGCTCCCCTGTCCAGAGGAGGGAGGGCCAGCGGGGTGCGCAGGAGGACTTCCTGAGTGCGTGCTCCGGTTCTGTCCTGCCCTCGGCCGGGAAACCAGAAAACAGCCTGGAGATGCAAAATCCTCCTCGGGAGATAAATAAAGGTGCCTCCCACTCAGTTCCATTTTGGGGACTCCAAAGTCGGAGAGTGAAGAGACCTCTAGAGGTAGATTTGAGGAACACGTTTAGGGAGATTTCGCACACCCCCTTCCTGACTCTACCCAGCCACTAATTAAAGGGCTGTAACGGTTCCAGTGTCTTGTAGTTTCTCTCCAGGGGAAAGAGAAAGTTAATTCAGATTTTTCCTTATTGTCTGCAAAGTGTAACCCTTCCTAGTAGCGTTTCAGTCTTGGGTTATTTCACGTCTCTGTGGGTATTTTTAGATTTCATTGCCTATGCCCACTCCTGCACAATGCAGTCATTTAAAAATACACTTGTATTTCCACTAATGAACTCATATTAGCTTTTCTTTTTCCCGTCACATTCCCCAGAGCCTTTTCACAGAATTATCACTGGCCCCCTGACCACCATCCTGCCACCTGTGTGATACCTCATCAGATTCCCTGGAACCACATCAACTTAGCACAGCCTCACAGTTCTAATCTCACCACCTGTACCTGTCAGCTCCGATTTCTCCCCTTCGAGAACCTTTCAGAACAATCCAGAACATAATACCACCCCCGCCTTGGTCTTGGGGCCCAAGAAGACCCAGAAGCTTCTTAGGGGAAGAGGGGCTGGAATGACAGAGGGGGTCGCCCAGCATCACTCCCACAAGGGTGACGAGAGTGGTGGGGGTGGGGACCTGAGTGTCCTCGCCACCAGCTGCGGCTCCCGGCAGAGCACGCGTGGGCGTGGGGAGGGTGGGCCACGGGATGCCCCTCGGGTCTGTTTCTCATGGGCCCCCTACGAGGGGATCAGCATCCACGTGGATAGGGAGACAGACTCAAACAGAGGCCAAGTGCCTGGGAAGCTGTCCTGATGACCGCAGGACGGCCAAGCCAGCCTGCAACATCTCATTTGGGGGATGGAGCTCTGAACTTACAGCAGAGCATGATGAGGCCTATTTATTCCACGGGTCCTACCTAAGTGCACACTCCTGTCATTAACCCGACAGATGCTTCCAGAGAGTTCCCCAGCATCTTGCTGCCAGTGTGATGCTAACAGCAAAACTCGGGAAACATTTTACTGGGAGAGATGCACCTTCCCTCTCCCACAAGAGCCCTGGAGACCTCTGGGTGAGGCTACAGTGGGACACCTCCAGCACCGACGCCCGAGCCCCTCTCCTGGCAGCTGCCACCATCACGGGTATCACATCTGGCCTGAACGGTGAACCCAGTTTAAGCTCAGAATGGCTGGCTCCTGAGATCACCATAAGGAACCCCAGGGGTTCTATCTTCCTTCCAGGTATTGCTCCCCTCCCGTAATCCCAGAGTGGAATAAATATCAGCAAGCAGGTTGGCCGGAAGGAGTTGGGAACAGGAAGAAGCAGAAGGAATCAGGTCAAGTTCCACTAGCACAGTTGGCTTAGACAATTCCCAGCAGCTCCCTCTGCCAAAAACCAGGGCTGTGCAGGGGAGCCCCCTGGGGGAGCCAGGAGCCTAGATTTCTCTCTAGAAGCCCAGCGAGATGGCCGGTACAGCTGCCACAGACACAGGGCAGAGTGAGGGCAGAGATGTCACCTTCCCCGACTAGTGACCAAGGACGCCAATTCAAGGCAAATCCTTCCCGTAACCTTTGCCACAGAAGCATCCCTATCTGCATGGTGCGGGGATTAATGTATCTCCCAGGTGTTCCTCCTCGGGAACTCTCAGCCTGCTGATTCAGGCTCTTGCCAGCTAGGAATGGAAACGTCAGCAAGAGCCCCTCGGACGTGCGCAGGCCCAGCCAGCTCGGCACAGCACAGCTGGGGGGGACAGTGTTGGCACAGAGTGAACATGAACTTTCACATGGAGTCTGGGTGACACAAATGAGTTTCAGAATAAAGAAACCAGATGGACAGATTTACATTTGGCAAAAAGACATGAGGAACACACGGACAGACAGAGCAAGGTAAGGAGTGGGAAGGCGGGGAGGGAAGAGTGCCCTGGACCCCAGCCGCTCCAGCCCAGACGGGACGTGTCAGCGCTAAGGAGGCAAGGGGGAGGCTTGGGGGAAGCAGCCCTGGGAAGCCCAGCTTCCCCGCCACAAGCCTGCGTGTGGGGCCAGAGGGGTGAGGACCTTAGCCTCTCACGGGCCGACGGAGAGTGGCAACCACAGGAGGCTGTGTCCCTCCAGTGCCTGCAGCCATGTCGCCGAGCGAGTAGAGCACTGGACCCCGGACAGGACGTGGCTGTTCTGAAGCTGAAAGGAGTCTTCACTGCGGGGCCCGTTTAAGAGGTTACTAATGCAACTTGAAGGTAAGCTCTGCCGTGAACCCAGGAGGGGCAATTTCGACCTAGTCCACCGGGCAAGGCATGGCTGGCGGAGCCCTTGGTGAGCACGGAGTGGAAGGACGTCAGTGCTCAGACTGTGACTGACAGGGCTCCCGGGGTCAGTTTAGGGTCGAGAGAAGGACTAAGGGCACTACGATGGCCCTGATCAAATGTAAAGTCAGGGCTCCAGCTGGGAGAGTCACCCTCGACCCCTGATCTCTCCTTTGGGATCCAAATCTAGCCAGTACACAGTGCAGCTGGTGTAACCCGAAGCTCACTGGGTCATAGAGCCATTCGCTAGTCTGCAAGACGCTGGCTTTCAGATTCCTCTCTGAGCCTAACTCAACACGTCCCTCTGAGGAGCTATAGGTTCTCCTTTCAAGGGCTCAGGCTCCCTTTCCAAGACCTTCTCAGAGAGGCGGCATCTGCCTCAAACTCCCTGGAAACGAGACCAGGCCACGCCTACCACGGAATCTGCAAGACGGCGATGCAGGCCGCACGGTCAGGCCAAATCCAAAGGATTTGGAAGGAGGTCTGCTCTTCTCTTCCTGTCCTAATGGTCTCAGAGCAGGGGTGGCTCTTTGCTCAGGGACTCTCCCGAGGCTGCCTCAGTTCCTTTCAGCAACGGGTTTCCAGCATCTTAGCACAGCCCATGCCTTCCTGCAGGAACTGCAGGGCAAGAGATGGGTGTCCAGGGTGAGAGCAGGGGTGCGAGCAGGGGAGCGTCTCCCACCAAGTTCATGTTCAGCAGACTGCCACTCACCGGGTAAGCAGGCCTCAGAGCACAGCTTATTGTCCAGTGCTTTCACGCTTGCGATGTCAAAGTCATTGTTATTGTCATACTCCATACCTAGAAATGCGCATGTCCTCTGGCCTGAAACGGAGTTATTAACGCAGTTAGAGGGGGGTTGGCTGTCTTTTCCTCTGCTTTGCTGTCCTTAAAATAAAAATCTCAAGGATGGAGACAAAAAAAATCAAACCATGTGTTAAAAAAAAAGACAATAGTAAGTGGGTAAAGAGCGGATAGTAAAGGAATCAAATTGTGTGGGGATGCTGGTGCTCTCGCCCTGCCCAGCTCTGTTCCCTGAATGGGCCCCTTTCCAGCCACTGTTCCTGGGAAGCCAGAGCCTGGGGGAGGGCTGCGGGATGTGGCCACAGGGACCCGGACCAGAGCAGAGCTCTGCCAGGCTGGGAAATGCTAGGCGAGCCTTGGGGGAAGTGACCCCCTGCTCTGGCCTGTCTCTGTCGGTGTGTGTGGGGTGTGATTATGACCACGAGGCTCTGCAAAATTTTATTTATAAGTAAAACGGCAATTATAGGTCTTTGGTGCCATAATTTTGCACATCAAAGACTTAATTTGTTATTCTAGTATGTTTTAAGGGACTGACCAGAAACCTACAGTCATGTAAGAGGGGGAGGGGAAAGTCTTAGACGTCGTTTTTTCAGAGCCCCTCCACCCTCCGGCCTTTTCTCTTGGTGAAGGGGAGAGCAGGAAATATACATCTACCATGTGGGCTATGGAATGACAGGTGGAAACCACTTGCTGCCCAGCACTTTCCAGAAGCAAATATTCTATGGGGGCAACTGTCACAAAGGGGAACTCTGGAGCCCTGAGCGCTGAAGGCATGACTCAGGGCCCGGGGGCCAAGGCGCCCATCCCCACCTCAGGCTGGCGCGTGAGTGGGGTGCAGGCCCAGCCTTGGTGGCCGCCCCTCCTCTAGGGCTGCTCGTCCAGGCGAGAGTGGTCAGGTGTGCATGCATGCCCCCCTGAACTCCCCCAAGCAATGGCCAGCGCTAAAGCAGAAGCGACCAGGATGACATCTGTGTCTGAGTAGGATCTAGGTCTGCTTTGGAGGCTGCCCTTCTGTGCAGGTACCTCAGAGCAGCCAGGGAGGACAGCCCGGTCCTGGGATGTCTGACTTTCCATCCCCAGGGGGGGTTTCCAGTCCCCCTCCTCCTACTTCCTCACTCTGTTGGTCATTCCTTCTCTTCTAGGCTTACTAGAAATAAAATTCTTCCGACTGAAAGTAGAATTGAGGCCTGAAAGATGGTTAAAGAGGAAAAAACCCCAATAGCCTGTAAAACACTTGTTTACACTGAGCTGCCGAGGTCTCTGGACCACACCACTGTGCCGCTGGCTGCTAAGATGCCCGTTACCATAACATCAGCCGTTTTCCTCACTAAAGCAAGCCCGAACCTACTGCCTTTCTCCCAGGTGGCGGAAACTGCTCTGCTGCTGAACCCCGGGGCTGCTCCAGCCGCTACATGAGACTCAGCTGAGAAGCTGAAGCAGGAGGGAGGGTGATGGGAGTTGCCCAGGAAGCTTCAGAATCTCCTGACTGTAGATGGGGAACTATGTGTATTTTCTGCAGCGTCCTCCTGACGTCCTTGGCTCTGAGGCCCAGGAAGAGCTGGGGAGGCCACCGAGGTCCTTAGATACCCTGTTTGTACATCAAGAAGACAACCTCTCCCCAACAGCCACACAGCTGAGCAGGGCCACCAAATCACATCAGTGCCTCCTTCTGCACCCTCTGGAGAATGCCCAGGGAAGATATGTAGTAAGAGGGAGCAGATGACCAGGTCTTGTACCATCTTCGTGTGTGGGTGAGCCATCCTCTTCCTCTAGGACGTCATTTCCCTAGGACAGAAGGAAGGCACTGTGAACAAGTACATTGGTTGGCTGGAGACAGAACTAATCACCTTCCTGGCATCTATGCATCTCCCGTCCATGTCCGAGATGACTAGCAGGCCGCCGAGGCAGACTTTGCTCGGTGAGGCAGGACCGGCCCGAAGGGACCAGGTCTGAGGCATGTTACAGCTGGACCCCAGGACTGTCAGGAGTAACCCTGGTCATAGTTTAGCTTACATTGTTTCTCTAAGGGGGAAATTGCCTAGTGAAAAAGCAAACAGTGAACTCATAAAGCTTTCAAAAATCCCTTAGGATCCCACGCCCTATCCAGATACTTCTTTGAGAACATCTGGCTCAAGAAAAAGTTCCAGAGGCCCTGCTGTGAGCTGGGCGCCCCCCCAGGCTCTGCCACAGCATGCGTCACGCCAAGTTGTGATCGCGTCTCCCCCACCCGGCGGAGCTCCTGGATGGGTGGAGAGGGTGGGGGGCAGGCAGAAACCATGTCCCTCAGTTTTTATGTCCCCAGTGCCAGGAAGCACCTGTGAGACAGCTGTCCTGGGTAAATGCTCACCAAGTGAATGAGGACAAACGCTCTCTCAAGGGGTCTGGCCCAGAAGACTTCCCTCTAGAACTCACTCCACGCCTACTACACTGAGACCAGCGCCCTCTGCTAATCCGACAGTCCCTCTTCTCCGCACCCCACTGTTCGCTCATCCAAGTGCACCGCTTTGGAAGGCTTCTTCCCAAACAGCCCCCATCCTATTTGTGTTCCCTGCCAGCACCGACAGTCCCTGCGACTGGGGAGGGAGCTCCACTGTCCGCCTTAGGGTTACCTCTGCATCCTGCTCTTCGGTGGCGAGGCCGACAAAGTTGCAGTCCGGAGACACGGCTGGCGTCACCTGCAAAAGAGCAACAGAAATCAAGGCTCAGATGCGACTGGCTCTCCTCCCCAGCTTGCCTGGCAGCAAACCAAGTTCTCAGGAAAGAAATGGTGCCAAACAGACGATCAGATCTGACGGGGTCTCTGATCCTGCTATGTGGTACCCTGCTTTCCGGGCCACCCCTCCTGAGCACTGGAGGGCTTTGCACATTTCCCGGGCAGACCTCGGGTTGAGCTAGTTGGGATGTGCGTGTGAACATAGAGATCCCAAGTGCTCCTCCCTTACCTCGCCTGCTTCTGAGGGGGCCCTGCTGGCGGCCCGTGGAGAGGGGAGCGCCTCCCCCTCCTCTTCAGTGCCAGGGGCGATGTAGGAGCCAGACATGGAGGAGACGGTGTCGGTGCTGATCTGGGAGTGCTGGCTCTGGGAGGACACCATGGACATGACCGACTGGGCCAGACTGCTGCTGGCTGGGTCTTTGGAGACAGGGGTCGAAGGAAGGAGAGGGGAGGTCAGGCCCGGCTGTGGGGAGCTGAATGCGGTGCAGGGCTGTCTCCCCGCACCCGGGCAGTGAGGGCGCAGTGGCCTGACCTTGCCCCCAGCAGAAAGGGTTTAGATTGACCGTTTTCCAGGGTTTTGCTCGTTTACATTTTCAAGCGCAGACTCAACCTCAGGGATGAGGGATGCTTGTCCCTGTCATGATGTTAAAGGAAAACCTTTCGACAGCAGGACTGGGAGCAAGATCACCGCTTCTCTCCTAGCTCAGCGGCAAGACCACCCTCTCACTGCAAGACAGCGATGCCCCCTTCTCTCTCAAGACGGGGCCTATGTTGTGATGCCCGTTAGGTATTAATTTGCTGCTCCCCAGTCCCTCCTGTAGGAAGTAAGAGAAACGCTATGGACTTGGCTGATGGGGGAAGAGCATGCAGTCGCTCCCTGCCCCCGCGTGTACCTTCTGGGGAGGAAAGTGTGGAAGAGAGAGGTGTCCCTGTGCAAGATGACTGGTCGATGGCTCCCGACGACGACAAGGTAAGATTCTCACTATCTGGAGTGACACCACATTCCTGGGGGGGAAGCGGAGTAAGGGCCCATCAGACGCAGTGGAGGGGGAGGGTGTGAGGGCAGGGAGCCTGGGCGAGGAGGAGGAAAGGGGATTCTGGGAGGGACGGCAGGAGGGAACACACAGGGGCAGGGCTGGTTTCTCCTCTGTCATCCCTTCTGCAGCCCTGACCCGAGTGGCTGTCTCCCAGGGGAGGCACAGACTTCAGTCAGCACATCCTGCCCGAGGCCGAGCATCTGCTGGAGCTGCACAAAGACCGCAGCTCAGGTGACACAGGTCACCCAGCAGCTGTGACACGGGGATACCCCAGGTTTCCCCAGGATTACAAACAGCTTTCCTTCTGAAGGAAAAGAACACAAAACCAGCAGAGGCCCCGCTGCCGGCTGGGCTTCTCCACCTGGATGGCAGGTTAGTTCCAGCTGGATGGAGGGAACACAGACACACCTTCCCCGCCACCACCTGCTCCTGGACCCTCCCCCCCCCCCCCGGCTCACAACCTCGCCCCCCCCACCAGCCGCGGCAAAGTCCTATTATTCTCTCTGCAGCCCCATTCTCTCTCCCCCAGGCAGTCTTCTTAAAATCTTAGTTCAGGCATCCCCCCTGCCTGGACTACTGGGGTCAGGGTCATTCCTGGTTCCATCTGTCTCCCCACTAATCCAGTCTGCACACCCCCGTCAGGTGGGCCCTCGGGAAGCAAGGTGCCCACTGTGGCACCAGCCGGCTCAGAGCCCTCAATTCTGCTCTGTGTTCTACGTTACTGTCCCGCCACCTGGAATGTCTCTCTTGCCTTTCTCTTCACGTCTAAGAAATTTGGATACTCAGCTCAAAGGTGGCTCCTCCATCACACCTTTTCTGGTTCTCTCCACTTAACATAATCCTCCGTGTCTCTGCCACAGCACTGTAGGGTCTGTTTTGGGAGCACTTACTTTCTCTAGTTAAAATTCACTCATTCATTCAACAAACACTGAGCAACACTTATGTGCCAGATATGGTGGTCGTATTTGTGTACATGTCCTGCCTCCAACTGGACCATGAGCTCCTAAGGACAGGAACCACTGTTCCTCTTCCCATGCCCCACTGCACCTGGCCTGAAGCCTCACTGGGAGTGGGCATCACAGACCTCTGCCTTCTGTTAAACACAGCCTGTGATGGCACACAGGGTAGAGAACCCTGCCTGACCTCTTGCCCATCCCCCCCTACCCCAGGGGGGTTTCCTACCTGCTGTGCCTGCGCCCAGAACCCTCTCTCCTCAGTCATCTGCACAATTTCCCCTTTCACCTCCTCTGTCCATGGACCACTTTTTTTTTAAATGGAGGTACTGGGGATTGAACCCTGGACCTCGTGCATGCTAAGCATGTGCTCTACCACTGAGCTGTACACCCTACCCTCCATGGATCACATTTTAAAGCTAGCATCCCCACCTCTGGCTGTGAGGCTCCCTGACTTGACGTACTGAGCCATGGCAGCATCTGACACACACTTTGTACTTATACTATCTTTTGTATCCACCCCCCCCGCCATCATGCATATAATAAGTGCCACGCGGCGGGGGACTTCTGTGGTGTCCTCACTACAGCCATTCTCCATATAGAGGATAGTGCCTGGTCAATGACACAGGCTCCATACATTCTTTTTTTAATTTAAAAAAAATTTTTGTCTTTTTGTGGGGGAGGTAATTAGGCTTATTGTTTGTTTATATATGGCAGTACTGGGGACTGAACCCAGGACCTTATGCATACTAAGCACGCACTCTGCCACTGAGCTATACCCCCCACCCCATACACTGTTGAGAGAATGAGTCTGCTGAGGCCTTCACTGCTGTCTCAGAGTGTTCGCTCAGGAGGTGTTTGATGAAGGAATGAGAGCAGGTGGACTGGAAGAGGCTAACAGGAAGAAAAGTGCCTGGAGCCCAAAACCAAGAAAGAAAGGCCAATGCTCATCACCTCGCCCAGATGCTGGGCTGACGGCCCCTGAGACAGATGCGTCTCGGATTCACTGCAGGAACGCTCATCGTCCTCTTCGGGCAACACAGAAGAATTCTGGGAGGTGGACCTATAAAAGCCCCAAGGGAAAAGAAGCTGTAGCCAACGTTCACTTACAGGACAGGACTTGCCTGCGCTCTCGTTAGCCAGATGTCACCGGGAGAGCAGGACCGTGACGGGAACTGAAGGGAACCCAAAGCTTAGGAAGGAGCAGGGACGTGGGAAAGGGCACCAGAGGGTCTGAGACCTCTTCCGGGTGTTGGAAAATCTCAGTTTTGACCTTAAGCACCTTCAGAACCTTGTGCCTGAACTTGGGAAAAACCACTGACATTTTTAGGGTTTCAATATTTTCATCTATAAAATAGCCCCCTTTCCTCTGCAGCAGAAGCTTATTGTGACTTGGAGCCTAGTTGGATTTATATGCTTAAGAAATACAGATCACAAGGTTCCTTCAGTTCTCAAATTAAGCAATGCTCCCCAGGGGCCTGAATGGCCCTAACGATGTCATCTTCCCTGTGCCCCACGCCCTTCCCCCGAAACAGAACGCATAAGGTTTGACCGTCTGGATCCGTCTACGTACCCATATGCCATCTTATTTTCCTTTCCTAAGGGGTGGGATAACTTCCCCTCAAGTGTTCGCCCAGGTCTTGAGTGAAGTGAGCAGCTCTGGGAACAGCCCAGAGGGTCTACACTGCCCTGGGACCTGGGACGGGAGTCAGCACTGAAGAGGTGAAAGATGGATTGACAGCATCTCATCAAGGACCCCAGGGCCAACACTGTCGCACACCAGCTACTCACTGGGAGAGACTCTTTTTCAGCTTGAGTCCTTGGCTTCCGCAGTCGGACAGGCGGTCGAGGGGCGAGAGCGTCCGGACAGGAGGCAGGTGGCCATCGCTGCCGTAGGAAGGCAGCATTCCTGAGAGGTGTCCGTCCCCAAGCACGTGGAGTGGGGGGACTGCTGGGGACGGGGTGAGGGGCCCATTGAGGGCCTCCAGAAGAGACACCACTTCATAACCGGGTGGAATGTTCTCTGAGGACTAGGGGAATCAGAGACAGGTTGAAAAATGAACTAAATACTCTTCGTTTTATGGTTTGAGTATGTTTCTTCCTCTACACTGGAAGAATGCTTTCTCTTACATCTGGTCTGGGGGCTCTGCCAAGAAAAGCTCTGTCTTAAGAGGCATATGAGAACCACACATTCCTAGACTCTGCTTACAGATGAACTTCTTCTTAATAATGTTGATTTTTCTGACTATAATAGAAATATATGCTCATTACAGGAAACTTGGAAAATACAAAGAAGTGGAAAGAAGGAAAAAAAATCATCAACAATCAAACCACCCCAAGTGATAACTTCTGTTAACATTCTCATGTATTTCTTCCGTTTTTCCCTCAGTACTGTTTACGCAGTTATGATCAGTCTGTAAATAACAATTTTATACCCAGCTTATTTTACAGAACATAAATATTTTCCTTCGCATGCGTCCCTTTCCATAGATACCATACATTTCCTAACTCTTCTACTGGTTCTGGCTATTTATTTGGATCCATTTTGTACTGTAAACAACACTTTGATGAACATCTTTGTGTATAAATCTCTTTTTTTTTCCAGATCATTTTCTTGGTATTAAATTCTAAGACCTTAGATTACCAGGTCCGAATGTTTTTAAGGCTCTTGATACATACAGCTGTTTTGTTTTGTTTTGTTTTTTTCAGTGATCTTGCCCTCTCACAAGCAGTGCAGAATACCTATTTTAATTGTTTCTTGGCCAGCATGGGTTTTTTTTTCCCCCATTTTTTGTTTATTAAAAATTCTTTAAAATTTTGAATCACTATGTTGTTGAAACTAATATCGTAAATCAACTATACCTCAACATAAATAAATAAAAATAAAAAATCAAATACACTTTTTTTAACCTGGGAAAGATGTTCACAATATATTGTTGAGTGAAAAAAGCACAATACAAAACAGAATGCAAGTATGAGCCCAGTTTTATAAAAATATACATTTTTAGCAAAGTAAAAGGACAAATGATGTTTACCAAAATATTAACATTGCTTGTCTTAACATAATAGGATGACGGTTGATTCTGCTTAACCAACCTTTTCTGCCTATTTGAATTTTCTGTAATGAAGATTATTTTTTTTAATGGGAAGGTAGTGAAGGACTTATTAACTTCAGATTATCCCAGTTGTGTCCCCAAAAGCTCCTCTAGTAAAGTAAATGTTTCTGTTTAGTCTATATATGGGGAAATACTTCTCCCTCATAGATTTGAACGTTCTTCCAAGATGACATTCACTCAAATTGCCTTTTAGGTAAAATATAGAAGAGCAATTGTTGATTAAAAAAAAAAGAAAGAAAAGAAAAAACACTCAATTATCACCAAAAAGAATATGTGAGAAAATACAAAGCCTCACTTTAAAAAAGGAACAAGCCAAATACATACTACTAAATTATACAGTTACATCATCTAAGTTTAGTTTACTGCAAAGATCAAGACAGCACACTAGAAGTTGGCAGCTTCTTTTCCACACCATTCATAGCACTCACGCTGTCAAACATACACTTTTTAAATGTTTTATCTTTTGACAGATCACAGCTTGGGGTATTTTTTAAAAAGAAAGTTTTTACATTTGAAAGGTGAAAAATGTTATCTCATTTTAATTTGCATGTTGTTGATTTTTAACGTGCTTGACTTTTTAAAAAAGGATGTCAAAGAGCTGTGTTTCTTCTTCGGAGGATTTTAAAAATAGATCCTTTGCCATTTATCCACTATTTCATTCATGTCATTTATGGTAAAGATACTAGCCTTTCCTCTGATACAAATGCTGAGAGTATATATTTTTTTTCTTTAAATGTTTTGTTGTTTGCCTTTTAATTTTGGTCATCTTTTACACATACAAACTTTAAAAATGTTTATGTGGTAAAATCGACATGTTCCCTTTTTGTAGTGTTCCGTTGTTTTTTAGATCAGAGAGCCCTCTCCCATCCACAGGCATCTAAAGAATCATCCATAATTTACTCTAGGTTTTCAAAGTTTCGTTTGCTTCATTTTTTGCATAGTTAACTAGTTACTCTATCTGGAATTTGTTATCTGGTAAGGAGTGCAGTGCTAAACTAATAGGATTTTTCTTCCCTAAATCACGACCTAATCATCCCAATACCATTTACTGAGTAATTAATAATTAATCTCCTCCACTGGCGTGTTAACTTAAAGACAAGACCTGTGAGTCTGTAACTACAAAGCCTGGAGACTTTCCTCTAACTGTCACTGACACCATGAGACCGAGGTGACCTATTTCATCGACTCAGCTCCCAGTCCCTGAAGCCACGAAATGGGATAAAGGAAAACAGTTACCTTCTTCCAGGATTCAGATAAAGACAGTAAATTGTATCCAAATCCAAAACAATCATCCTCTTGTTTCTGCCTGGGGGAGTTCCAGAGCTGGATCTCCCCGCAGAATGAACCTGAACGTGGACCGCTCTAGGAGCGGTAAAAATTAACCGGATGCAGAGTTCCCAAGGCGGAAAAGGAGGTTTTAATGACCAGCACCCAGTCTTCCGCAGTACTGTTGGTTGGGTTTAACACAAGACCTCAGCCAGCTTATGAAATACTTCAGTGTGCCAAGGTGTAAATTACTTGCTGCAAAGTCACATAAAGAAGGACAAAAGGTGAAAACAGCCCAACTTACTGAATGCTCTTCTGAGTCTGATGTCTGGGATGAGATGATGGGGTTGAAGCTGCTTGGGGACAAGGGGCCCAGTTTTTTCCGCATGGCTCGGATCTGAAGCAGTGCCCGGAAAGCTGTGAAGAATCAAAAAGGCCATCAGGACATCATGATACAGCGGTCAGGATGAACAAGAGCCCACACAGAGCCACGATCCCTCCTCCCCGAGTTCCTCCCTGGGGGGCCCAGCAGGGCCTGCCAGCCACTCGCCCTGTGGGTCTGGGGCTTACGCAGTCGGCAGATGGGGCAGTTGTTGGCCTGGTAGCGCAGGGTGTCCGCACAGGTGTTGCACAGGCAGAGGTGGCGGCAGGGCAGAATCAGGGTGTCCCGCACGTCTGAGAGACACACCACACACTCAGCACTGTTATCGCTCACTTCATCCTCAGCCACCTGGCCGGAGACAGAAATTCAACCAGTGACACAGAGATGCTCACGTCCCCCTCTTTCTTTCTTTAAAAAAATTTTAAAAGCTTTTGTGTGTGTGTGTGTGGGGGGGTAACTAGGTTTATTTATTTATTTGTTTATTTGTTTGTTTATTTATTCATTTAGTTTTTGATGGAGGCACTGGGAATTGAATCCAGGACCTTGTGCATGCCAAGCACGCTCTGAGCTATACCCTCCCCGCCACGTCCCACACTCTGTATAAGGCGGCTTGCCTGCAGAGCTGAGATAAGCAATTGGAACAAAACCATACATTTACACTAAACTTGATGGTTTCCCAAGTGCATTCACACACTTAGTCTCACTTCATCTGGCAACTGTTTGTCTCTAGCTCATCCTCTGAGGCTCAGAGTTGGTCCTCTCTGACAGTCTGAGCTGAAGAGGCCCAGGAGGCCACACAGGCAAGGGGGAGGGCAGTGAACTGAGGGACCAGGGAACTGAGAGAGCAGAGCCAGCTCCCCAGGAGAACTGATCCAAACCGGCCTATTTTTTCATTTCCACAGTGACATAGGTACAATCATCTGAAATGAAGAACAAGAAAATACCCTGCTAGTACCCAACTGATGCCCGAGTTTGGCCTGGTGAATCCCTAGCTCCCGGCTGTCTCAGAGACGCTCCCCCTCCGCCTCCTGGGAAGAGCACCTTCAGAACTGCGGACGGAACTTGCCTTAGACTCTTGCGTGTTGTATTTGTTTTCGATTCCATAGATCTCCTGAAGGAGGTAGCTCACCCCATCCACCTGAAGAGCAAATGGAACAGTTCAAGGGCAGGTGGACTCTGCTGAGAGGTAGGAATGGGAACTCGCCCCTGCCCCAACTGCCTCTGGTAACAAGGACCACTGACGCACCATGACGAACGTCATAGGCTTAGACAAGCAAAGGATGCTTTGATTCGCTTCTGTTTTCTCTTTGGGAGGGGAAAGAAAGTCAAATGTCTAATTCGCCCACCACTATACCCAACGGGGAATAACACTCATACTGCAGTTCACCATGACGGACGGTTAAGAAAGGCAGAGACCAGGAAAAGGATGGAAGGGTGTGCATCCAAACAGAAGCATCAGCTATGTGATAAACGCTGAGTGTAGATGTTATGAAATGAAGGAAAGGAAATGGGAAAGGAAGAAAGAGAAGAAATGAGCAAGAAAAAGAGGGGAAAGGGAACATGCAGAAGCAAGGAGAGAGAGTAAGACCTTCAAAGAGGGCCTCCTCCCATTGTGCCCCCTCCCACACCACCTCTGATTTGCTGCAAAATTACCCTGATTGGTCCTGCTTCTTAAAATTCCAATTCAACGCCCAGTTCCTCTCCCACCAGCTGGGGCCACGTCAGTGCCAAAGCTGGCCCTTCCCTTGTTTCTTGATGTGAACCCGCCCCTCTCCCCTGCCTCACCTCCGACCCAGGGAAACCCTCCCCTAAGACCCAGCCTGTCACTGATTTCACAGCCCACACTCCAGTTTGACACAGTCTGTTGCTAATGCCAGTCTAGCAACAGGAAAAGAGATCAACCACTTCCTTTGAGCTACCCTAGCCTTTCCATCCTCCAGGCATCCTCCCCAAGGGGCAACTCACTGAGGCCTGGCCTTTCCAGGCAGTGCCCTGGCTGGGCTCAGGATCTGTTTTCTCCTCTGCCTCTCTTCAAACTTGCTTTAACATAGTGACTAGATTGAAAAGGACATTATCAACAAATTTATACTAAAGTATTATTGACTACCTTTGACCCTGTTAACGGTGGAGAGCACTTAATACCCCAAAGAATGAACAATTCAGAATTTCAGATATCTGTCACCCATCTGCAGAAGAGACCTTTCTTTGTATCTCAACCAAGGACTACCCTCCCCACCACCCAACTCTCCCTCTGTGTGATGACCCACCCTCCCTTGGCAATGCCACTGCCACCACTGTCCCCTCCTCAGCCTCCATGACTCCCTCCTACCTCTGCAAGAGTGGAAGGAAAGTGCTGGCACACAGTGGTGCTTCGGGTTTCCAGCAGACCTATGCATAACTTACCCCTCATTCTGGAAGGGGGCAGATGGCCAGCGAACTTCAAATTTGAGGAAAGGAATGTTGGGATAAATTAAGCCAAGGGCTCTAATTGGCCCTGAATTGGACCCCGATACTTAATTCTTTAGCTGGAAATGTTTCTCACCCTGGCATTTTAAATAAAGAGAGTTGTCCCTTAACCTAATGTCAGGAGACAAATCCTGTCCTTTCCTTTTCTTAAGTCCTTTGCTCAGACAATGACAGCCTCACCACCAATTCCGGAACAATAAAGACACCAAAAATCAGCACTCCTTTCAGGCCCACCCAAGTAGTTTCTGACACAGAAAAGCATTCCCTTTTTTGTTATTCTTCTTTGATTAAATAAAAAAAAGGATGGGGGTGGTAGGAGGTAACAGAGGAGTGAAAGAGCCAGCTTGGGGGGCTCCATCGGTCCCTGGCCCTCAAGCACTTACCACCTGTTTCTGTTTGAGGGGCTTGACACAGAAAGTCCCGTCTGTGTGCTGGAGTGAAAATAGGACAGTTACGACAAGGAAGGAGGGCATCGAAGCGCCAGCTGTTCTTTTGTTACTTCTCTCGGTTACATGTGTTCTTGGACCCCCCGCCCCTCATGTGGAATGGCAGACCCCTAATATGGGACACATCCCACCAGCACGTGGTCTGGCCCTTCCACTTTAAGAAGAGGCCCAGGAAGTCCAAGGTCTTGTAACAAGCTGCCGGCAGAGCTGGAACTAGACCCCAGTGAGGGGGGGGGCGGGGGGGCAGGGGCAGAGCCCCCAGTGTGGTGCTCACGCAACTCCCCCCCACTTCCCCAGCCAGACCCAGCCTGCTGAGCCCAGGCAGCCAGCAGGCAGGGCCCCACGGGTCCTCCCAGGCCAGCCAGGGCTAACTGTCCCAAAGTGAGGCCTTACGTACCTTTTCAAAGGTGCCCAGCAGGACGTGGCAGTGGCCAAAATACTCTGAAAGAAATAAAGCCGAATAATACACTTCAGTTCTGTCCACCTTCCCCGATTCCCTGCAATCTGGCAAACCCAACACTCTGGCTGTCACGGGAGAGGGTGGGTCATGTCACCCGATAGGAGTCTCGTCCCCCAAGGAGCTTGGGTGCACGAGTGCCTGTTTGAGACCCACAGAGACAGCGTGCTGCCCGGGGGCTGTAGCCGCTGCCAGGCCAGTGTGCTCCACAGGGCACGTGCGCAGCCAAAGAGGACAGGGAGCCCCCGTACCGTCTCCTTCATCCACCACAGCATGGACCACCAGCGGGTACACCTCTCTGTCCAGGTCGAAGCCAAGCTGAAGGGAAAGAAAAGGAAAAAAAAAAGGGCTTAACACATGTAAGTGGTGCAGTAGCCCGTCAGAAGGGGAGGCCCCGTCAGGATGCCTGAACCCCATCTCCGCAGCTCATCCATCAACCTGGTTACCACCTAAGTCCGCTTAACGGAAGGCCGACTTTGTAAAAATCTCAGAGACGGAAAGGCTTCTAACCTACAGGTCTTTCCTTTGGGCACTGCTTCCTCAAAATGTCCGAGGTTAACGGGCTACTTTGGAATAGAAACACTAACGAGGTGACATGTAGCCTCTCAAGGACGTGAGGACGTTACAAGGCTGAAGGGGAGCGTGGTCTTCCAGCACCTGGGCCCGTCCTTGGCTGCCAGCTGGGGTCCTAAGTCGCTCCCACGCCCTGTGGGTCTGTGTGCGGAACCGGCCGCGTGCTCCCTCCCGGCAGCCAGTCCCCCCGCCGCCAGCGGCGCTCACCTCGTCTTCAGCCCACTCGGAGGGGTCCACGGTGTGGGAGGGCAGGCAGAACTGCTGGCACACCCCGCGCTTGTAGTGCACGGTCTCCGACTGCAGGCTGTTCTCTTTGGGGATGTAGCTGTCCATCAAAGTGGGAAGCAAAGCCAGAGTTACGGTGGAGCCCAGACAACCAGACAACTTCCTCCGTCTCCTGCCTGTTCTCAATTACCAACAGGCTTAAGGAGAGGGAAAAAGAGGAAAAGGAAAAAAGGAGAAAAGAGAAGATCTCCTTTATCGCCTCTTTCCTTTGCCCTTGCTCAGTGATGCTATTAAACTTATCTCTTCAACCTGCACACCCACAGAAAGGTCGCTTCATAGATTTTTAACAGCACCTCGATGACCTGAAGGGCCATGCTGCCGTCACTGTACCAAGATGGCACAATTTAAAGGGAAACGGGGAAAAAGGAAGGTTGTGCAGAAGAAAATCCAAATTCAGGAACCAGATCTCACCTGGTTGCAGAAAAAGACTGTTCCCCTCCCCCCCCCAGGTGAGGGCGCCAGGCACGGACCCTGACTGGTCTGGGAAGGAACGGCTCCCTGGGCCCTTGTCCTCACCTGGCAATGCCATTCTGGAACTCTTCGGTGGCCTGATAATAGATGGTGATGGCCACTCGGGCATCAGTGTCGAAGGTGAACTCCACGTTGTAGTGGACTTTTGCTCGACCGGTCTCTTCTCCAGGTGTCTTCACCTCCTCGGCACATCTAGAAAACCACAAAGACTCAGCATTTTCAGGGGGTAGCAAATTAGTATTTGAAAATGTATCTTCTTTTTTTCTTAAATTTATTTTTTAACTTTTTTTGGGGGGGTTAATTAGGTTTACTTATTTATTTTTACAGGAGGTGCTGGGGATTGAACCCAGGACCTTGTGTGTGCTAAGCATTTGCTCTACCACTTGAGCTATATCCTTCCCCCTCTTCTTTCTTTCCTGCATATATTGTGGGCTTCCCTCCGTGATGATACACTGAGGCCTCCGTCCTTATTCAGAATGGTGGCCAAGCACTTCTTCACCACCATCGCTGGGCATTTAGGCTACTTCTGCTGATAAATATATTTTTAATGGAGATACTGGGGATTGAACCCAGGACCTTGTGCTTATAAGTACACGCTCTACCCCTGAGCTATCCCCTCCCCTAGGCTATTTTTGATACTTCACGGTGCTACAGTTAACATCCTTGTGTATTTGCCAGACTTTTTTTTAAAGTTTTTATTTTAATCAAAGTTACTAACCACATATTTTAAATAGTTTCCACAAGGCTTGTGACAAAGAACAGCAAGTCTCACTCTGCTCCCTCTCCCCTTCTTCAAAGGAAACCTTCTTCACCCTCTGTAGCTGACTGGGCACTTACCTGCATGTTTCTTAAATAACACGCGGGGGTCAGTTTTTCGGTTTGAGGCATTCTCTGTTGACTTCCTACCATGGAAACGAGGCTTGCTTTCTCTTTCCTCACCCTGTTCCACGTAGGGACCCCCGCCCCCACCCCGCCCCCGTGTGATGCAGCATGACTTTGTTAGCTCAGAACATTGCTGTCTTCAGGAATGTGATTCTTTCAACATTATCTACGTTGGGGGGGGTTGTGGCTCAGTGGTAGAGCATACACGTAGCACGCACGAGGTCCTGGGTTCCATCCCCAGCACCTCCATTAAAAAAAAAAATCACAGCTCAGCTACAGAGCCATCTCTGATTATATTTTTTCCCCTGCATAAGTTTTTCTTAGAGTTTGTACTCATTTTTTTGGGGAAGTTGCTTAGTTTTCTATGTACTAATCACTCATTGAAACCCAAATTCTCTGCCAGCTGTCTTAACCTCTTGATGTTCTGGGCATTCTCTGCATCTTGTCTCTTTGGGCAGGTCTTTCTGGAGCCCTGTGAGCTGCTCCATATGAACCCTGGACCCTCTGTACCTGCACACCACCTCCATCCTTGAACCTCCCGGCCCCATCACTCTGTGAATCCCTTTCGCCTCTGTCCTGGAGAGCTGCACATTCCCTGAACCTCCCGGCTTCCTTTTTCCTGGGTTACACTACCATTCTGCTGGAGCACAACTTCCAGTAGCTTCCTGAAAAAGGGTGTGTTGGAGGGACAAGATTTTGGAGAGTTTATTCTCCACTCACACTTCATGGGAAGTCTGGCTGAGTAAATAATTCTAAGTCATAAATACTTTAAAAAATTTTAAAAAGTCATTTCAAAGCATTGCTGCGTTATCTTCCAGTTTCCAGTGTCGCTCGCAAGAAGTAAGAAGCCATTCCAATATTGCTTACCCTTTTTCTCCTTGATACAGAAACTCCTCTTCCTCATCCATAGTGCTGGGCACTCGGTGGTCCTTTGTAGAAACTCTTAAATCATGTGTGTCACTGGTGACTCCTCCCTTCTGAATTCTCCACTCTCTCTTTCCAAAACTGTGAGTCGGATGTTGGACCTTCTAAATGGATGTTCTATTCTTCATATCTTTCCTCTTCTATTTTCCATATCTTTGCCTTTTTGCTCCACTTTCTAGAATGTTTCAACTTGTCTTACTACATTCCATCGATTTTTTCACTTCTATGTTTTTAAGTTCTGAGAGCCTTGTTTTTGCTCACTAAACGCTTTGTCACTGTGTCCGTGAGATAAGAAGGCAACATTTTCTCTGTTTTCTCTGACGCTACCAATCAAGTTCTCCTCTTCCTGCACAGTTCTCATTGCCACCTTTTCCCCCGTTTGTTTGTTTTGTCACTGCCTTTCATATGATAGGCGTTCCTTATACACCTGAGAATCTTTGGTTGTCTGCTCACATGTAAGAAATTTAAAACCTCTGCTTGGAACTGAGTGCGTGGCAAGGTGTGGGGACTCATTTGTATCTGGTGAGGAACCTCCAATACCAGTGTCTTTGGTCTTCCCACCCGGGTGGGTCTGATCGCCCAAAGAACAGTTTTCCTCTCTTCTGACAAAGGCCTGGCTGCCGGCCTTCTGGGGGCAGAGTTGGGGGTGGAGGATAGGCTGGAGGACTCAGTATCCAGCAGTCTACCACCACCTAACCCCCTGTTTGCAGTGCAGAGTCCAGTCCTTAGCTGTGCCTGGATCCCCCAAGTCCAGACACCCTCTGTTTTAACTTCCCCAGTCAGCACCACCTGCTCGCCTTCTGCCGGCGTGTGGGAGGTGGGAAGGCAGTTCCGGCCGCACAGAGTAAGGTGAGGGAGGGCCGTGAATACCTCTCAAACAGACCTTCCACCAATTCCCCTCCTGTTCGCCTCCCGCCCCCCTTCCCCTGCCCCCGGGTGCCCAGAGGCACCTGGAACTGCCAAGTCCTGAGCCTTTGGGGGGAAATCACAGTATAAACTGGTGATTCTCAGCTTTTCCTTCTGCTTGCTCAAGATTCTGATTTTCCAGGTCTAGTAAGTTATTTAACGTTCATCATCTGTTTTTAGCCTCTAGAATTTTGTTCCTGACGCTGTCTTCCTGTTCTCCCAATTCTTGTGGATTTATGCAGTTTTTTTCTGCTTACATGATGTCTCTTTTCTTTTTTTTCCCCATCGAAGTACAGTTGCTGTACAATACTACATGAGTTACAGGCACACAATACAGTGAGCCACGATTTTTAAAGGTTGTCTTCCATATTCAGTGATAAAATATTGGCTATATTCCCCGTGCTGTACATCTGCTTGCAGCTGATTTTATACCCAGTAGTTTGTACCTCTTGCTCCCCTCTGTATCTAGAATGCTCCTCCCCCTTCCCTCTCCCCGCTGGTAACCATGGACTTACGCTTTTTAAAAATACCCATTATTATTCAGTGGGGTTTTGAGAGGAAGCAAAGGAACACTTCCACCTTTACCTGAAAATCTGAGAATCAGAATTTACTCCAGTCCCATCTTGGAAAAACAAATAAAAACACCCTTCATCTTAACATTTACTGAACACCAAGTTCTTTCCCTTGCATCATCTCCTTTAATTTTGGCCACAGCCATGAAAGGTAAGTTCAGCTGTCACTGTTTTACAGGGAGAAGCCTGAAGCTCAGAAACTTGCCCAACGAGCCGTCGTGAAGCTGGGAAGCAGACTGGTCTCCTGCGTCCCAGCCAGGTCCTCTGAGCACAGACAGCGGCCCCACTCTATTCCTGAGCTGCAGCCAGGCTGCCACGTCCGAGGCCAGGACCTCACAAGGGCTCGCACCCTGGAATCCATCTCCCTCAAAAGAGCCAGCAGGCCACGTGTGATGAGAGAACAGGTGGACAGGGGAGCTGACGGCTGGCAGGCTCCCGAGGCCCCACCACCTCCATCTACTCCGATGCTCGCAGGAACCCCCCGCCGAGGCTGTGGCTGCAGAAGAGTCTGCAGCCAGAGATGCACCCCCTTGGCTCTCTCGTCCCCAAGTTGACCCTGGGGTGGGAGCAGTTGGGGAGGCAGTCAAATAACATAAAAAATTGAAAGAGACAGACAGAAAAGAGTTTAGGGGCAACTTAGGCTGGGAAGAAGAGATTTTAGGGAAATGGGGAGTGACTGATAATGAATATGGGGTTTCTTTTAGGGTGATGAAACTGTTGCACAGTTAGAGGGCAGTGATGATTGCACAACTCTGTGAATAACTAAACATCACTGAACTGTACACTTTAAATGAGTGAAGAATGGTCTGTGAATTGTATCTCAGTAAAGTGCTTATATTTATTAAATGATTGGAGGGGAATAAACCTCCTGATCTAGACAGGCATAAAATAGTCTCTGAGTCATCTTCCTTATCCACTTAGAAAAATGTGGGACCTCTGCTTTGCCCGAACCAAATCTGTCTCCCCAGGGAGCCAGTAAGTCTTCATGGACAGACACGCTACCCGGATGGCAGCATCGGCTGAAAAATGACACTGTCTCAGGGGCAGCACGAAGAAGGAAGATGTTGTGATAATTAATGCTGACAGCTGGGATTCAACAACAAACCCGGGGCACCACGAGCTCCCCAGAGGAAGGGCATATGAGATTGCAAATGTAAAGTAAATAGAAGCCATAAAATAAGGGTTTCCTGTGCCAAGTTCAAGTATCCCATTTTTACATAGGCTTGCTGAGGTGTCAGCAAAATTTACTCTCTCCCCCAACCACTCTTTCTGACAAGTTCATCGGGGAGAGATACTAACGACGGCTTCCAGGAAAGGGAACGTGCTTCACAAACGCAGACTATCACGGGGAATTCTGAGCACTCTAGGCCCCGAGACATGCCATCCAGGCAGCCCAGGACCCGGGTCTGGCAGAAACTGCTTGGGGAGCCTCTCTGCGGGGAGTGGAAGAAGGACCCCAGCCGGGAACTTACTTGACGAGCCTCAGGGTGTCCTTTCGGATGTTGATCAGACTTCTCAGAGTCTTCACTGGTTCTTGGGGAGGAGGGGCAGCGTAAGGAAACTGTGTCAGAAAGAAAGTGGGAGAAGACAGGGTATTTAGAAAGACCCATAAGGGCCCCTCACTGGTCAGGGCTTCAGGGTTGACAAAGAACAGCCTTTCGAGGTGCAGGGAGGGGTCACTCCCTGCAGGAGGACACAGAGACCCGACCAGTTAAGTGAACTTGGTCAAGGTCACAGCTAGTGGTGGAACTGGGATCCGATTTGGCATCCAAAATGCTATGTTTATCTGCTTTTCCCATTAGATGAAGCTTATCTGAGTCAGCATTCAAAGTGTGGGCAACTAATAAAAACTCCCACTGAAGTTCCAAATACCAAGGGACACACGGTGGCTGGTGGCCGAGTTAATCACAAAAGGCTTTTCCACCTGACCTTTCACAACAGGGAGCCGGACCTGCAAGGATTTTCCTTCAGGGAAGCCACATGGTGTCTGAGGAATTTAGGAACTGCAAACACAAGAGAACCCCATCACGTGTACAGAGCGGAGGCCTGCAAACAGCGAAGAACAAATTTCCTCCGCAGCTGATCATACAGAGCAGAGTTTTTTAAAAGACGTGAGCCCAGAGCTCTTTGGGGGTCATCAAAGGTTTGTGGTTGTCCATCATTTACCTTATGCTTTCACTCTCTCTCCCCGGTTCAGACATCTGTGTATCCAACCGACGATAGGAGATAAGAAAAAGGAAACAGTAAAAAAAAAAATTCACAGGGAATTGCTTTTAGAAGATGAAGAGTGATTTGAAATGTTCCCTGTATTCTTACAGTGTAATTTGGGCAGTAAACATTTTTTACATGTGAGTCACAGGAAACCTACTAGCGTTTGGAGTTTTGCAAAACTGCGGTCAGTGCTCCCAGCTCTGACGTGCCTGCGCCCAGAGCTGGTTTCAGAAAACAGAACGTCCACACAAAACTCTGTGCCTTCACAGATTTTTGCTGACTGCGGCTGCTTCACTCGGGCAACACAATCGAGCCGACGTTACATCTCATTTTGTGTATTCAGTGTGATTGCTGGTACTTCACGTGTACGAACATGACCTTTAAGAAAATACATTCACTCCAAGGGGGAGGGCGTAGCTTAATGGTAGAGTGCATGCCTAGCATCCAATGAGGTTGTGGGTTCAATCCCCAGTACCTCCATTAAGATAAATAGATAAATACATCTAATTACCTCTCCCCCAAAACAAACCAAGGGAAAAAAATACATTTAATCCAAACTATCAGATATGCACTCAGATTATCTGCTTTGTGAGTATTATACAGTAACATGTTACTTTTTTTATTAATACCTTAAACATATATTCTTTCAAAATATGGGAGTTGGTGTTTCTGATTACAAGGCAATGTATGTTCAAGCAGAAAACTTGAAAAACACAACAAAGTACAAAATCAGCCATAATTTCACCACTCGGCGATACCAAAGTTAACGGCACAGAATGTTTGTTTTCGGACAGGCACTCGTCCATCCACTTCCCTCCACCCTCCCCTCCCGCCACATCTGTGCACGGTTTCACACTGTACGTACTGTTTTGTCATCCCTCTTTCACTTAGAAAGATGTGGCAAATGTCTTTAAAGTCTATAATTTGACGATATAACCACACACGTTAGAGACAGGGGCATACTTTCCTCAATTCCACACTATTCAATGTTTTCAGTTGGTTTTCCTTTTCTTTCTTTTTCACTAAGATACCTGTTGGGGTGAAGGCCTTGCACCTACATTTTTGCCCGCCTGTTTGGTGATTTGCTTAGGGCAGATTCCTAGAAGTGGAATTACTGGATCAGAGAGTAAGCAGAGTTTTAAGACTTTAAAAAATATGTTGCCAAATTGTTCTCCCGAAAGCTGATTCCAATTTTGCTCTCCTGCCTGCAGTGCACCAGGAGGCTTTTAGACAGGAAAGCTGAAATCCTCATTCAGATCCCATCTGTGGCCCATTTCTACTCCCCCCGCCCCACTTTGCTGAGCTGTCACACTAAAAGAATTGAAAACAACTTTAAAATAAGCTTAAGCAAAAAGTAATTAGGCAGGAAAACCCGACACAAATGCTCGTCTATTCTAAAGCCAAAATAAATGACTTTGGGATTAACATTTTTTTCTGGAGTAGCGAAGTTAATCATATTCCTTCGCACGGGTACTTGGAGTTATCCATAACTCCAACCTAAGTTAAAAAAACAAAACAAAACTGTTTCTCCCCTCACTCTTTGCGCTTTCCCCTCCATATCCTCGCCCATTAAAAACAGAAAAGCAAAAGGAAAGGGGGGGAAAAAGCTGGAGTTCTTTGTCTTCCATTTAGAATATTATGTTTGATGATGACTAGCAATGAAATGCAAGTTATTCAGTGCTCAGGGAAAGGTGTCCGTGGGGTCACCTGTCATTCTCTTTTATAAGTACTATCCTTTCTAGTATAATAAACCCACTCCTACTCTTTTGGTTCTTCTTACCCCGTCCCCCTCCCCCAAAAGAAAACAGTTGAAAATCTGTTTTGGAGAAACTAATCCTGTTTGTAAAAGGCTCCCACCTACCAAAGCTTCCATCTTAGTGGCCTTTCATTCATCCAATCAGAGTCGACCAGCAACACTCAGGGCCAAGGAGTAAGGAGAGACTTAAACCAGAAAAGATGGGGTCCTGCTCTTTCAGGAAAGCAGCATTGCAAGGCAGATGACATAGTTACACAAATAACTATAACACTAAACAGAGAGGAATGCCAGGAAAGGGGCAATGATAAAGGAAGTGATTGCTTCTGGCTGAGGTAATCTGGAAGGCTTCATGGAGGAGGTGGTATTTGATCTGGGATCTTGAAGGATATGTGTAATTTGTAAATTCAGAGATGACAGGGAAGATCGTGAAAACCGCAGGAACAGAGGCAAATTGAAGAAAATGTTTCTCTGCTCTTAGAGTCGCCTCCCCTTCCTCTCCAGGCCAGGTTAGCGCGCCGTGACTCTAAGTTTCTTCATGATCTTCACTTTTTCAAGGTCATTTATTGAGTCCTTACTATGTGCCAGGCACTATGCTAAGCATATTACATTCATTATCTTAGCTGTCCTGGGAACAATCTTGTGCGGTAGAGATGGTCATCCCCTTTTTGCAGATGAGGACCTTGAGGTAGGAGGAGATTCAGTAACACCTCCCCAAGCCCCACAAGTTTTAGGGAGCAGAGTTGAGGTTGGAACACGTTCTACCCACACCTTTCTCTAATACGCTCCTGGATATAAGCTTCTTCATCTAGAGATGACTGGAGGATGGAAGTACTAGTTAGTCACAAATCTGAAAACACAAACCTATGTCTTTGCCCATTCTTTTCTCTTGGTAAGGCAGCGATGAACTTTTCTGCTTGTTTACAGTGCCTCCTGAAGACACGCGCCATTACTCTGCTATATTTAAAGCAAAAGAAGCATCTTATTTCAGTTCGAAACCAGAGATTTCACTCCTATGCTAACAGATATGTGTGACACGAAAGCAAAAGCTCAGGAAGGACTCAGGTCCGAGCATGTGCCTGCAGCAGCCGCTCAGCTGGCATGCACTGTGCTCAGAAGGGCATCCCTGTTTCTCGGTTCACGTCCACAGAGTTTCCACTTGCTTCCTTATGACCTCAGCCCTATGTCTACTGCATTAAGGAGTAAATGATAACAAGAATGATCAGACAGATGGTTTTTCTTGGAGGCAAGCGCCCTGGCACAGCTAGGCCAGTACCCGGAAGAGTAGCCTGTTCTATGCTGTCCATGGCAGTCCAGCAGGCGCACAGCTGGAGGCGGACGGACAGGGCTCCTGCAGGCTGAGTCCGGACTTCCTGCCTAGCCCAGCACGTGCCTAGGAGATGCCTTTCTGTTTCTCAGACATCGTCCTGGAGTAAATCAATCCTAACAGCCTTATAAAGGACACCTAAAAGCAGCTTCGAGAAATCTCTTTCACTTCTCGTAACGAAGACAAGCTTTAGGTAAAGACTAATGGACAAAGAATGAAATCAAGTCTGCTCGTGTACTTAGGAACTAAACCTGCCTGGTCAGGACCTTTACGACAGAGAATGCTACCAGAAGAAAGCCTTCTTAATGGGGTAAAATTTGGGTAATTGTTGCAATTACAGTTGCCAATGCCCGTCCATGAAACAAGAAAACAGGGAAATGTTTACCGCAGACCTACTATGTGCCAGGCATCATGCCGGGCTCTTTAGATATATATGTATTTTTTTTCATTTTACTTTATTTAACTGTGGCAAACTATACATAACATGAAATGTATCACCTTAATCATTTTTAAGCACACTGTCTGGCAACAGTAAATGCACTCACATGTCCTGTGCTACCACTGAGTTCTAGTTTAGATACATTCTCACTTAATATTCTAAATGCTCACAGAGGTGTCTGCCAGGCCCACCAGACTGTGAGCTCTTGGAGGATGGTTTGACATGCAGGAGGACCTTAAAATTATGTTGGTTGACTGGATAAATGAAGAATATCAGTATTAACATCCTCATTTTGTAGATAAAAAAACTGAGACTCAAAAGATTCCTGTGATTATTGACGGTCTCAGGGCTAATGAGTAGCAGAACCAAGATTTGAACCCACAAGCAGGATTTGAATCCAGAAGCCATGCTCTTTCTAACTGCAGCTGCCTTGGCTACGGCAGGGCAAGTCTACAGGTTGTGCCGATGCCGGGAGCGTTCTAGGCACCTGCACGGAGTGTAGCGAGAGTCTGGAGGTTAAATGCTCACTGCAAAAGGTACCAAAACCTGCTCAGGTTCTAGAAGCTTGTCCTAAGTCTCTGGATTACACCCTTATTCTTAGGCAGCGGTCCGTACCAAAGCATAACTAACGCCACACTCCTTCCATATTTTAACAGGAGTATCTAAGGTCTTCTCAGAGGGAAACTTTCTTGGAACACAGTGTGACAAAATCCTTTGTCTGTAAGATCTAACCTCACCTGTAGAAGACACAAATGTACATTCAGGGCATGACCGCATCAGGGAACACAGTCCACAGAAGCCAGGGATGTGTTATCACTGTTCACCTTCTGCCCAAGATGCTTGAATAGCATGTGACTGATAGATATTTCTAAAGCACAGTGGTTCCTCCTCTACATTATTTTCAGAGAACACAGATATTTACCCATTCATTCAAGCTTCACGATGCCCTGAGTGCTGGGCCAGGCCTGGGATTCAGTGATGGACCAGGCACAGGTCTCTTAGTTCTGTCTGTAAGGGGCCCCGCCTCATGACAGAGCTTGCATCTGGGGCACTGCATTTGGGTACAGTTACCACCCCCACCCCCTGCCCACCCCGAGAGTGGTCTCCTTGTGTCTGTACTGAAATACACCAAAATCTCAGAATGATTCAAATCCCAAGCACCTCAAGCCCAGGATGGGGGGACAGTCCCTGTGCCGCCAGAGGCACTCTTTGAATGGGCCCCACGGGGGTGCTCATCAAAGCTCTGTGTGAACACCCAGAAAGCTCCTCTTTGGCCTGTTATCCTGGTGTTCATCAGCTTCCTTTTATGTTTTCCTTACATCAGCAAAGTGCCACCTGCTGACCAAATGTAGAACTGCCAGTTTTTTGGGTTTTTTAAAAATTTCTTTTAGAACTGCCAGTTTAGATGGAACGGAAGCACACATTGGAGATAGTGTGTGTGTGTACATACACGTATATATTTATACACACACACATATATGTGTGTATATATCAACCATATATCCTAGATTTTATTTGTTTAAATTTTTTTGTTTTTGGGGTTTTTCTTTTTTTGACATGGGGTAATTAGATTTGTTTATTTATTAACTTATTTTTTTGATAGAGATACTGGGGATTGAACCCAGGACCTTGTGCACACTAAGCTCTCATTCTACCACTCAGCTATACCCTCCCCCCAATCCTAGATTTTAAACCATTCTAATTTCAAATATTTTGTTAAAACTACTCCCATGGCTGCACTCACATTTTTGTTGTAGAAAATATGGTCCCAGTGTGTACGAGATCACAGGATATTTTACTTCAGTTATAAATTATTGGACAATTCCCAAGAGTCTGTAAAAGGCACTAGAATCCATTCATAAAACTAACTAATTTCAATAAATAGGTTTTTACGAACGTAATTTGTTAACATTTGCTATTAGAGTCAGACCTGATCACACATGTAAGTAGCACCCTGGATGTGGCCACTGGGCACTCCGCCAGTTGGCTCTGTGTCCTTCTCACTGGTCCCCATCACTTTTTGAGTAGTTCCTTACTTTCTGGCACCACAAGGTATTCCAGATTCATCCTGTGTTTTTCCTGTCCTCTCCCTGGAATCGATCATGCCTCCAAGGAGCCCTGGTTCCTTTATTAGAGAAGTCTACTTCAGACCATCATTCATTCACTCATCTTTTACTGATGAACACTTGGTCTGTTTCCAGTTTTCACTACTACAAATGATGCAACAAACATTCCCTGAATGGACACTTAATAGGAGAAAAAGGAGGGGGAATAAAAGAAAAACAAATGAATATGCCCTAATGCAGCTTTTACTTAGGAAAGAAAAAGACCCAAGTGCCAAAAATCTGCTTCCCAAGAGAAAGGAGATTATTTTAGACCATGTATGATTAAAACAGGATCGTACTCATTTTATACATTAGCAGACATGTAATATCTGTGTTAAAGAAACAAATAATAGTTAACATGGAAATCTACATCTGGGGGTCGTATGAGCAGCTCATTTACATAAGCTCTTGCTTTTATAGATTTTAGGGCTTTTATATTTAAATTTCAGTTCCTTTTTATTTGCTGCCTGGTTATTTTCTCAGCTTTCTCGACTTCCTCTCTTCTCAGCTTTGTAGCGTGTCCAGGACTTACCAGTGGATATTTTTAGACAGGTGATGCTTTAGGATATTTTTTTTTAGACCAGTGTCAGGAGAGAACAGTGTACTCTCTGCTTGAACGCTGTGCAGTGGGCACAAATTTGCCTATTTAACCAGCTGCAGCCCTGGGACAGACTGTTTTGTCCCTGCTGCAGACCAAAACGTCAATGAGCTATATTTACAACAGTAAAACCCCTTTTCACTGATTTTCCATCCAACCCTTGTATGGAGTCAATCACCAGGGTAGAAAGACTAGTGACCACAAAGCTGACAAGACATGAAAAGACATTCTTTTCACTCAAAGATGTGAGGGAGACACCAAGAGGGTGTCACAAGTTGACTTTAACTCGAAGATGTTCTATGTTCAGGTTTGGTTACCAAAGGAATCCATCCAAGAAGGCAGTCTGTGTATAGTCTGTTAACTCCTCCATCCACGAGGTCCCCAGGAAGGGTGCACGTAGGACCAATGTCCTGGCTGTGTGACATCACACCTAAGGCTGACCGTTCTGAAATACTTCAACCCTTCTGTGAATACGCCCAATTAACCGATTCTCTCTGTTCATCCTGACAGGTATTAGGAGCATGAAAGACCCCCCACAGTGAAAAGCACCCATCACAAAATTGCCCAGATCTCTCTCTGCTAATGACCATCACAGACCCATTTTCTCCCTCCTTTTATGGTTCAGGTCTTGTGTCCTATTGCTGGGGAGTACTCAGACCAGGCAATACGTTCAGTGCACTCTGACATCAAATGCACGTGCGGGGCCGCGGGTGCTACTTTGATGAAAAGTGAAACTTACTCAACTTTCCGTTCCCCCTGACTGAAAGCCTCAAGATGCAGACCTCCCAGCGGCTGAAACCCTACCCAGTCATACTGTGCTTCTACACTGAAAGCACCATCCTCAAGAGGAGCTGCCTTTACAAAGGATTCCGCCTAACACCAGCTGATTTTAAGGAGAGAATTAAAAGGGGAAAAGAAGTGCTTTTAGTAAAGCAGACACAGTCATCTTTTCCCTCCAGCAAGTTGGTAAATAACGACTAATGGTCAGAGAAAGGACTCGTTTCAGACAAGCGCTCCATTCTAGACTTCCAGATTTCACCTGGCTGGGAGCCTCGTCACCTAGCTCACAAGTAAGAATCCACTTTTAAGCAAGAGATCTTGAGGTGCCTACTACTGTATGTAAAGAATATGCCCAGAGAGGTAAGCAACAGTATCAGCCAAAATAGTTATTTTATAATACACAACATATATTTTTTCCAAAGAAGCATGTGAATGTTCTAATGCCACCGAGTGTTAGTTTCCCAGTCATTTTTTTTTTCAACAGAGGCATTTTAAATAGGCTAATTCTTAAGAACGGCAAGTGGACCAAAGTCTTCCTCAGTCCATATTTCAAAAACAAAAAAGTGGAAGCTAGTCTTCAAGTTGAAAAGCTCCAAGATGCCCACCTGTGCCCCTCCTGAAATATACTGACTCCAAAACTGTCTATGGAAGATCCAAAATCAATTATAAGAGTTGTCAAGCCTCCATTTCTCATATTCCTGGAAGGAAAATATGTTCTGAAGTCTATTACGCTAGGAATCTCCGCTTGGGAAAAAGAATAATAGTGTGAAATATAGAAACAGTTAGCTTTATTAGCCAATCAGATACAGCATTCTAAGTGCAGGGAAGGTCTGTTACTTTGGCCAAGCTACATATTTGCAGATACAGCCCTAGGCCTAGGAAGAAGGCCATTAGTGAATCAAAAACCCTAAGGAGATTTTATTTTCTTTAGTTAATCATGAAATATGGAAACCCCATATAATTAGAAGAAAGTTGCATAAAATAAAAACCTATAGCATATGTCTGATAGTTTTAATTTCTAAACTGTTAATATTAAGATCTGTCTTTTGTGGCTAATTTAACAAGGCGACATCTACTTCATTCTGCCCTGCTAAGCTTCCGAAAGTTTTGAGAGCTATGATTATGCTTCAGTCACCCCTTAATAGCAGTGAGCAGCCAAGGTTGTAAAACCAACTGAAGTACTTCCTCCAGTTTATATGAAAGTCTAAGTTCACTGAAATTCTGCATAACAGGAAATCTAGAGCTAGAACTATATTATGTTCCAGATGGTGAATCTCAGTGACAGAATACAAACATTTACAATATATCATGTTCAGAGTCCAACTCCAAGCTTGATTCATGTCACTGGCTCCTCTCTCGTCCTGCGCTCCATTCTCACCCCTTCTTTGACCTCCTACCTGAGACATCTGCATCCCTCCACCTGTTACCTATCACCTCTCAGTCCATCCTTGTAAATCTCCACTCCTTGAACCACAGGCTTCAACACCTCCAATTTTCCTACTCTCAGCCACCACTTCTCTGTGGCGCTTCCTCCATTTTACTGATTTCCTGCATTAAGACCCTGGGCTTCTGAACATCTTTCAGGGCTTGTCAGAGGTGACTCCGGTTCACCGAGAATAAATAGGTGTCCTAGTGTTAACCATGAACTTTCTGAGACTAAAAATAGCCCAGTTCCAAGTTTAAACATAGTGCAAAGCAAAGATGATGCAACAGACAATAATTCCCCAAGAAGCAACACGTGGCCATACCTCCTAACGCGGTTCTTCTGGCTCCGAGGTTTGTAATTCTCAGCCTGGCCAATGACTACAAAGATTCTTTAAGCACTAGTTAATAATCTGTCAAGAAAGCACAGCTGCGTGATGAAGTGGGAAGTCAAAAGTTCAGCAAGAGGATTTAGTGACTGGCTTCTAAACAAATAAATTATGGAAAAGGAAAGATTTACAGTTGGTAAACCTGACAGATGCCACTTTGACCACGTGATCAAGGTTGCCATCACTGGTGGTCTGTCAGGAGCTGTGATGTGCCTCTGATGTGATGCAGTAAGAAGGACACTTACCTCTGCAGCATTCTTCCCCCAAGTCCATAACCCTGGTCTAATCACAAGAAAGCATCGGAAAATCCAGACTGATGGGAATTCTACAGAACACCTAATGAGTACATCTCACAACTGTCAAGGTCATGAAAGACAAGGGAAACCAAGAAACTGTCAGAGACTGGAAGAGATGAAGGAGATGTGACCCGCAAAGGTAACACGGAGCTAAAGAAAGACAGTAGTGGAAAAACTGGTGTAGTGCTAATAAAATCTGTAGTTTTGCAAAATAGTAACGTCCCTAGGGGAATTTTTAGTTTGGATCAATGCTCCATGGTCGTATGAGGCATTAACATTAGAGAAAGCTGGGCGAAAGGCGTATGGGAATTCTCTACGACTTTTGCAACTCTTCTGTAAATATAAAATTATTAAAAAAAAAAATTCAGCAGGAGAAATGCTGAGAGAAAATGGGGAACAGAGGATCTCAAAGTGGAAGGTGGAGGTCTCGGCTCCTGCACTGCTGGCTGGGCAATTTTAGACAAGCTGCTGCACCTGACTGAGCCTCCACTTCCTCACCAGTCAAATGTGCTTAATAATAGCTGCCTTATAACTTGTCAGATTAAAGATTGTATTAATCAAGGTCCAGTCAAGAAAAACCACATCAGTGGTTTTAACAGAGAATTTAATAGAAGGAACTGGTTAAACAGGCACTGGAGAACCACAACACAGAAAGGGGACCCTGTGTGGACAGAGTGTCCTCAGAAAGTGGCTCCCTCCCCCAGAGCTGGGGGAACCAAGGCGAGGGGTTGGGGTTATCAGATCCTGGGGGCCTCCTGAAGCTGGAATCACCACTTCTACTAAGCACCTGCGCTAACCCTCCCCCTCTTGCTTTTAAAAATATTTAACAGTATGGCTTAGCAGGGGATATGCACCTCTCGTGTTTAAAAGCATTTAAAATTCCAGTAAATGGAAACTATGGTTAGGGACTACGATCTATTCTACAATTATAACAACCTTTACCGCAATGCTCAGAGCTGCCGTCTAAAGATAAAGCATGGGGCTGATTCATTTCTGTAATAATCAGCGCTACTGTTTCAGCTGAGTGAAGTGTGTGGCTTCAGGGTGCTTGCTATTCACATGTACTCAAGCTCTTTGCCCCATGAGTCTCTGACTTTTATAAAACACTTTCATTACAATTTAAGGCCGTTATGCATCTCTTTAAAAGCTGAAAAAGTTAACCAGACTTTTCTTTGAAATGCAACACCGATATCTACGGTTTCCCGTAAGCTGGGGCGGACCCTGACAACAGGAAACAGAGGTGAGAGTGTGCATGCTTAGTTTCAGTATGTTTCAAAGAAATTTCGAGGAAATTCCTACAACGCAGATGCTTTAGCTTCACTGCTGAAAACCACAGCCGATCTTGGTGCCCTGGTTTGTTAAGAAATACGGCATTCAACAACAAACCAAAAGTTGAAGCATTTAGCAGCACTTTCCAAGTCAGCAAAAGTTATGTCACAGAGTAAAGTTCCTTTCTCAGAGCTTCTGGAAGCTCTGTCTACACTTCATTTATCACTTCCCCTTTGTGTGTGTGTGTGTGTGTGTGTGTGTAGCTTCCTGCTCTATTATAAATTTGAGGGCAAAATCTATGTTAGAGAAGTCTTTGTGTCACCCAGTATCAATAAACGGGCACACGGAGAAGGTAAAAATGGCTATTTGTAGCATGACTATATAAGTAAGGTTTTCAGAACCCAGTACAGCGTGTTCACATGGTGACCCTCTGGACTTTGAACATCTGCCCTAACTGGCAGGTTGGCACAATTAATACCCACAAAATAACTGAAAAAACACACAGCCACGTGTTTTTTAATAAAGGATTTGTGGAGCAATATTTATTTAATTTTATTTTTAAATTAAAAAATATTTTCTTAGTTGAAGTATAGTCAGTTTACAATGCTGCATCAATTTCTGGTGTCCGGTATAATGTTTCAGTCATACATGTACGTGCATATGTTCCTTTTCATGCTCTTCTTCATTATAGGGTACTATAAGATATTGACTATAGTTCCCTGGGCTACACGGTATGAACTTGTTTATTTTATATATGGTAGTTAGTATCTGCAAATCTTGAACTCCCAGTTTATCCCTCCCTACCCCCTTCCCCCTACCCTCCCTGTAGCCATGTTTGTTTTCTCTGTCTGTGAGTCTGTTTCTGTTTTGTAAATAAGTTCATTTGTGTCTTTTTTTTTTTTTTTGGATTCCACATATAAGTGATATCACATGGTACTTTTCTTTATCTTTCTGGCTTAATTTACTTAGAATGACGATCTCCAGGTCCATCCATGTTGCTGCAAATGGCATTACTTTATTTATTTTTTTTATGACTTCATAGTACTGTGAAGTAATACTTACCAAGTTTAACTAGGAGCAAAGACCCTCTGGCCCTGCCAGTGAGCTGTGTGCAAGACTGAAATGGAAGAATGAAAACAAAATTGATTTAATAAGGTGGAAGGGACACAAGGAGCTGAAAGATCCAGGGTCCTGCCTCCATTCTGGCACCAGCTCTGGTGTGTGAGACCTCGGGTGAGCAATTCAACATCTCTGGGCATCAATTTCCTTATCTGTAAAATGGGATTAAACAGCCTTTGTCTATCACGTAGGGTGATTAAGACCAAATTAAAAATGTTTTAAAAACCACACAGTGCTGTGAAAATACAGGTGATCATTACGGATTATCATTACTGATAATATTATCTTCTTTAAAGAATTCTCCCTAAAATGCAATTTTGAATATTTGGAAAAAAGAACGTACAAATGAAACATCAGCAGTTAGGTAAGTATCTCTTACCTATGAATCCCAGAGCACTTCGAGTGAATACAATTTAGGATATACCTCACTTTGCTGTGACCAGGAGAATTACTGTAAATCTGCCACCCACCCAATTAGAATTTAACCTCTTTGGAATGGCAAATCCCCCCTTGGGAGGCATGTAAACTCTTCCCACAGTGACTGGAAGGCTCTGAGATTCTCAGTTTGTGATCAGATGGAAGTGGAAGACACGGTCTAAAGTCAAATGAGAGCTGAGCAAGCTCACCTCTTGTCTGTTCTGACTCTGATGGTCTAATGAACAAACGTGACTTCTGCACACGATCCAAAATAATCACAAGCCAATGAGGAAAACAAAGCACAGGTGGAGAGGGGCAGCTCCCGCCCTGCAGTGAGACCTGCGCTGCTGGGAGCTGGGCCTGACCGTGCTGGCTGAGGGCTGCTGGTGCAGGGGCAACGCTGACTTGCCACCCCTCCCATGGCCACGTGCACACACGGCATCTGGGGGCCACGCCGACCACCTCTCGTTTACACAAGACAGACAGGAGCTCCCCAGGCCACATGGAGAACAGGCTACGGAGAGAGCACTGGCATGTCTAAGAACCACTCATCCATCCTTCCCAAGACCTTCCTTTTTTTTTTTTTTTCTCACTAAAGTCAGGTTTATTGAGGTATAATTTACACCCAGGAAAACTCACCCATTTTAGCGTACCGTTCTATGAATTTTGATAAGCACATACAGCTCTGTAACCACCACTGTAGTCAAGATACAGACTATTTCCATCACCACCAAATGTTCCTTCACGTCCTTTTGTAGTCAGCCCCTCCCTGCGCCCCGAGTCCTTGGCGATTACTAACCTGTTTCCTATCCCTGTAGTTTTGCCCTTTCCAGAATGACAGGACACATTCTTTCCAATAGTTAATGAAATAGCCAAAGGCCTCACTGAACTCTGCACAGGTCATCGTGTGTTCATCTGCCCTGTGAGCCTCTCGAATATATTAGGAGGAAGGGAGAAGCCAGGGTCTGATGGGTACGAAGGGCGGTAACATTCACTGCCGCGTGGATGACCCTGCAAGCTCTACCAAAAGCAGGTTGCGTCTTCATGGGATGTGAAGCAGCTCTTCTGCATCCAGAGACCTCTTGCTTTAAACTGTCTCTATAAAATACCCGGGCTTCCTCTTCCATGATTGTGTAGTACTAGACGCAACCAGGTTTCCTTCTGGTTTAGTTGAACTTTTGCGATTAAAAGAAAACATAAATTACTGTAGCTGAAATGGAATATAGATTCAAAAGAAAATTCTGTTAAGCTAAAAAGCTTGAGTTTCCATAGAATGTTCTTCCAGCCCATCACATTTGGCTTGACCTCATACTGAGATATTTTGTGCCTAGCAAAATACTCAAGTTTTATTGAATTCTGTAAGAACCCCTCAAAGCTTCCTGCATAACATAAAGTGTGACGCACATATAAATGCACAAGAGGTACAATTAAGAGCCCCACGGCAAATCTAGAGTGAGGGAAACTGCAAATCACCTTCTAGCACAACACAAGATCACATTACAGCTTTTTTTTTTAATTAAAAAATTGTTACAGATTGTTACAGATGGAAAATCCTTGTCCTGTAATTTCAAAGCCTCAATTATGTTGTTTATTCATTCCCTTTTTACCCTATGTAATGAATTATATCTTTTATATTAGATATATAAGGGGTTATTATCAAATTTTGAGATGTAGTTTGAATAAATGATGGAAAATTTAAAGTCAAACAGTGCTTCCCAACTTCCCATAGGCACGGATTTGAAAATTTGAAGAAATGAATGTAAAGGCTTATGACAGCTCCCCCTCCTACAAGTTCCTATAACAGATTAAACACCGGTATTTACCTCTGCTCCCTTCTGAATTCCCACTGAAGTGACAGTAAAGGGATTGGGAAGGAAAAAAATATATATAAAACCACAAGAACAGAGAGAATGGGAGAGGAAATAACAAAAAGAATTGGAAGCTGAAACACACACAGACAGATGGAAACGGATTTAGGAGAACAGAAAGGGCTGAAATTCCAAATGCCAGAAGGATAATTGTGCCCAGAATCCCAGAAAGGCTTAGGAATTGGAGGCAGCTGGTCCTTCTGAAAGTGCGGGAGGCTGCAAAGAGGAGACTGGGGAGGTCTGAATGAAAAGCATTTCCACTCCGAGATCTTTTCCCAGACACCACGTGGTCAGGAGACCACCTGTCCCCTTCTAACAGAAGACTGGATGTTTACCAAGGAGTAAGTTAGAGGATCTGACAGTCCCGGGGACGCCGGGTGCAGCTGCGGGAGGGGAACCCTTTGAAAACAGAGGGCTAAGTCAAGGTCCCCGTACAGAGGCTTGGAGGCTTGCTGAGACCGCCCTGCCCCTTCCCCGCTCGCCTCCCAGAACGCTGGCAGGCAGGCTTGTGCACAACTCGCCCCCCTCCGCACACCCCACACCACGACGCTGGATATGAGTGGATTCTTCACTGGAGAAACAAGACACGGTCACCTGATTTACGACAAAGGAGATGCTGCAATGCCGTGAGAAAGGATGAAGTGGTCTTTTCCACAGCTGGTGCTGGGTCAATTTAAACAAAAGGAAAAGAAGGAAAGGAACTTTGGCTCCTACTTCACAGCACAGCCCACAATCAATTGCAGATGGATGGCAGCACTAAATGTAAGAGGTAAAACAAGGCTACGTGAGGAAAACCAGCGCGTCTTCATGATTTGGGTATTTGAAATTTCTTTAACAGGATACAAAAAGTGTTACCATGTAAGAAAAAAATTGATAAATTGGACTCTATTAACATTTAGAACTTTTGTTCAACTAAAGATCCCACTTAAGAGAGTGAAAAGGCTAAACTTCAAAGTTGCTAAGGTTTTAGATCTTAAATGTTCTCACCACAAAAAGGAAATAATAATTAGGTGCCCTGAGGGAGGACTTAGCTGACACCTGGGTGGTAATGTATCAAACCAACAGGTTGCACACCTTAAACTGACACAGTGTTATCTGTCAATTATTTCTCAATAAAAATAAATACATTATGTTTAAAAAGAGAGTGAAAGGCAAGCAGAGACTAGAAGACAGTTGCAACATATTTTTCTGAGAGAGGACTCATGTTTTCTTATTATTTCCTTACTCAGAAAGAAAGAGCAGATGAGCCAATAGAAAAGATCTGAACTGACATTTCACAAAGGAGGGATCCAAACGGCTGATAAATGTATGTAAAGTGCTCAACCTCATGAGTCACCAGGAAAATGGAAATTACTTCTGCATATACATCAGAATGGCTAAAATGAAAAGGATGGAAACTGCTAGGTGGTGGGGACTCCAGGCACTTCTGGTAGGTGTCAAGTTGGGATAGTCGTTTTGGAAAGCTGTTTGGCAGTTACTGCCACGCATACCGAGTGCCCCAGCAATGCCACCCCTGGGCTCCTACCAAATATGCACACACATGCTGAACAAGATACCTACAGTGGAGTTATGTTCATGACAGCACGATTCTTTTGTCTTTCTTTCTTTTTTCCCCCTTTTTTCTTTCTTTTTATTGAAGTAGAGTTGATTTATAATGTTGTGTTGGTTTCTGGTGGACAGTATAGTGACTCAGCTATACATATATTCTTTTTCATTACAGCTTATTAGAAGATATTGAATGTAGTTCCCTGTAGGAACTATACAGTAAGACCTTGTTGTTTATCTATTTTACATATAGTAGTCTGTATCTGCTAATCTTGAACTCCTAATGTATCCCTCTCACTCCTTCCCCTTTGGTAACTATAAATTTGTCTTCTATGTCTGTGAGTCTGTTTCTGTCTTGTAAATAAGTTCGTTTGTATTTTTTAGATTCCACATGTAAGTGATATCATATGATATTTGTCTTTTGCTGTCTGATTTCCTTAGTATGATCATCTCTAGGTCCATCCATGTTGCTGCAAATGACATTATTTCTTTTTTATGGCTGAGTAGTATTCCATAACATCTACACACACCAGATCTTCTTTATCCAGTCATCTGTTGATGACATTTGGGTTACTTCCATGTCTTGGCTGTTGTAAACAGTCACAGCATGACCCTTAATAGCTAAAATGCCCAAACAACAGAATGCCAAAGGCCTATCAACAATAGGGTGGAGAAATTACAGTTGATTCACACATGGAATCCTATACCTCAGAGAGATGAGTCTCACAAATGTTCTGAGTGGAAGGAAGGGGACAAACAGACACATGTCATGGCTCCACTTATATCAAGTTCAAGCCAGGAGAGAAGATGGATCGTGTTACCTCGGGTGTGAGTAGTGACTGGAAGGGGGTGAAGGAGAGCTTTGGGGAGCTGGACATGTTCTATTTCTTGATCTGGATGCTGGTCACAGAAGTGTGTTCCATTTGTGAAAACCAACTGTACACGTATGATTTGTTCCTTTTTGGTGTATCTATTATCAAAAACATAGCTTTTAAAAAGGACAAGCCAGTCCTATGTAATGGATCTAGAATGGTCTCCAAGATACACTATTTGATTAAAAAACAAGGGCAGAAGTGTGTACAGGATGTGCTGCCCCCCCTCAACCAGGTCTGTGCTCCCATCCCCCAGGGGCTGAGAATGTTGGCCACAAACAGCCCAGAGCTACACCTTCTCAGGAATTAGGAACCAGAGTCACCTGGTCTGAGAATCCTCCCAGTTCCTCCCTCCTCATACCACCGCAGGGCAGCCCACAGCCAGTGACTCACTGAGGCGGTTGGGGGGTGGTTTACAAAAGGCCAGCTCCCTCTCCTTGAGATGGGGGGATTCTGCGGTACAAGCTGTACTCCAAAGCCTTCTCTAGGGACCAGCTGAAGCCAATCTCTGCCAAGACCACGTTGTTGCTTAGTTTTGCTTCCCTGCCCCATCTGGCGTCTGCTGTCCTCCTTCTCCAGAGAGCACGCCTTCAATAAATAGTTTTCACAAAGATCTCCAACTCATGTTTGCTTCCAGAGAGTCTGACTTAAGCCAGATGGTATCAGAAGTTGCCTAAGGAAGCGGACTCTGCAGGTGGAATTTTGGGGGTGGGTCCCCACAAGCCAGATGGCAATGAGGACCCATTCAGGAGGGTGACAGTCCCTGGGGCGCTGTCGTAGTGCCACATGGGGCAGGGACGCACTGGCTGGCTTAACATCTCTGGTACAGGAGGCGCAGAAGATGTGGCTACAGCAAGGACTGTGGAATTGGGTGGGTGCTATTAAGGGCCATCCCTTCATAGAAAACGGAAAGATAGTCTCAGATGCAGCAATCAACAGTTTAAAGCCAAGTGTGACAGTCGGCAGGCCTAAAAACACTCACGTGCCCCAGACAAAGGCCCTAATTTTAAGGAATGGCAGAACTAAAAAGAAGGCCGACTATATATAAAAATAGATCAAAAACCCCACAAATTTCTCCTGTATAGCACAGGGAACTATATTCAACATATTGTAATAACCTTTATGAAAAGGAATATGAAAATGAGTACATGTATGTATATGCGTGACTGGGACATTGTGCTGTACACCAGACACGGACACACTGTAACTGACCGTACTTCGATAAAAATAAATAAACATTTAAAAATTTAAAAAAATAAATAAAAAGAAGGCTGAACTCAGCTCAGCTAAGTGCACTAAGTCAAAGTTAGGGCCACGATGGAAAAGAGTGAACTCCGAGGCCGGCCATGGGGATGTCTGTGTCTACTTGAGAACTGTGAATCCCGGATTCCCTAGACTCTGCCTCTTATGCTGATTACCAGCCAATGTGGATTCTGCCTCTCGGATCAGGGCCCTCTTTCTCGTTCCTACTGAGACCTGAGGTCAGACTTCCCTCAGCTCATTTGGGGAACTTGTTCCCCTGATGCTCTCACAACCCTTTAAGAGGTGGAAGCAGCCCAAGTGTCCACTGGCAGATGAACAGATAAACTAAACAAATGTGCTCTATACACACAATGGAATATTATTCAGCCTTAAAAAGGAAGGAAATTCTGACACCTGGTACAACCTGGATGAACCTTGAGGATATTAATGCTCAGTGAAATAAGCCTGTCACAAAAAAGACAAATACTATAATATTCCACTTACATGAGGTCCTTAGGTTGAATTCTTAGACAGTAGAATGGTGGTTGCCAGGGGCTGGGGGGAGGTGAAAAGGAGGAGTGAGCATTTAACGGGTATAGAGTTTCAGTTTTGCAAGATGAGAGTTCTGGAGATGGGTGTAAAACAATGTCAGTGTACTGAACTGTACTCTTACAAGCATTAAGATGGTAACATGTGATGTTATGTGTATTCTGTCATAATTAAAAAAAAACTGAAAGTGAAAAAAAAATATTGAGAAGATGATTTATTGAATTCAGCCAGGTGGTCACCTCTGGGGAGAGCCCAGAAGTAGGGAGACCTGTATAATAAAGATGCTATTTTTAGGGGGAGAGGGTGTAGCTCAGTGGTAGAGCATGTGCTTAGCATGTATGAGGCCCTGGGTTCAATCCCTAGCACCTCCATTAAAATTAAAAAATGAGAAGAAGAAGAACGCTATTAAAAGAAAAATCTGTACATCAAACTGTCTGCAAAGCCCTAAACCATTTCTGAAGTATGAAAATTCATTCCCTTGTTTGGCTCTTTCATAGTCTGGGTTTTCTTTACCCTCAGGTTGTTAAAAGCAGGCCACAGCCACACTGAATCTGATGTTTCTAAAGGTGAATCGTTGCCTGTTCACAGCATGAGGACGCCACCCGGCTCCATTCCTCACCACACTTATTCTGATTATTTTCTCATTCTCCACAAGCCCACATCCACTTCTCAGCACATCCCCGCCCCACTCAGCAGACCACACCCTTCCTGCAGGTCACTGGAAAAAAAAAAATGGAAGCCATTATTTTATGAACTTCCTTAATTTCCCTACTTCTATATATTCTCCTAGACCTACTTCCCTTCCTGTGTTCAGCAGCAGTGCTGCCTCTGTTTTTGAAAAAGATTAAAATGCTTTTAATTAAAAATGGAAACATGTTGGGGAGGGTGTAGCTCAAGTGGTAGAGCGCATACCTACCACGCACGAGGTCCTGGGTTCAATCCCCAGTACCTCCGTTAAAATAAGTAAATTAATAAACTTAATTACCGCCCTCCAAAACAACAAAGGAAAGAAGCTAGCAGGCAAAAGGCCAAAAACCCAATTACACATGCGCACACACACACGAGGCCCACTCCCTCCACGGACTCTAGATTGCACTGTGGCACCCAATCCCCAATGTGGCTGTATTTGGAGATGGGGCTTTGGGGAGGTAATGAGGGTTAGATAAGGTCAGAAGGTGGCATTAGTGGCTTTACAAGAAGAGAACGAGAGAGATAACCGTCTCTTTCTGTCATGTGAACACACAGCAAAAGGCGGCCACCACAAGCCAGGAAGAAGGCCTTCACCAGCAACGTCCTCTGCAGGTACCTTGACCTTGGACTTCCCCGCCTCCTGAGAAATGAGCATCTGTTGAGCCGCCCACTCTGTGGTAGGGCAGACTCCCAGGCCCTTAGGCAGCAGACACCAGGGCACTTGTGACCAACCTGCCAGTTACACCGAGGCCTGGGCACAAACCAACCTGCAGACAGAACACGTGCAGAGCATCCCGTTTTAAGTGGTAGCTGCCCACGGGGGCCGCTCCTCCGTGTCCTCTGCCTCAACTCCTCCCTTCCCCTCAACTCACACTGCCCACAACTCCTGAACCCGCAGAATCTTTACTTCTTAACGCCACCCCCCTAGCTCAGCCACTCCTCTATCCCAGCTGCAGTAAACTACTGCTTCCTAGCTGCTCTCCGTATCTCCTCTCCTTCTGATTCACTCCACACTGTGAGCTGATTTAAACAGTTGACTTTCTAAAATGCAAATCAAATCGCAATAGTTGTCATTGTTTGAATCTTCAAACTCTTCCTGCAAGGTAAGGTATTTTTACGGATGAGGGAACAGAGGCTCGGGGATGGCCATGCCTTCATCAACACCACAAAGCTAGTCAATGGCAAAGCCTCTCATGACTGTGACCTTCTCTACGGCCACAGAGAGGAAAGTATACACTTCTCGGTTACAACACTCATGGCCCTTCAAACATGGGTCCAATTTGTCTTTCCAGCGTCATCTTCCACCAACTTCCCTCAGGATCCAGTCCTCACAGCCTACTGGCCATTCTGGAAGCCTGACGTGCACTTTTGCATCTTGGTGTTTCCTCACAGTGCCTGTGAATTCTGCCTTAGCAGCACTTGGGAAATCCTGCTCACCCCTCCAGGTACAAGGGCTCACCTCTCAGAGCCCTGGGCGGAGGTTCATCCCCTCTCCCCTGCACTGTCAGAGCACTAGCCCTGTCACTCATAGAACTTACCACGATTCATCACAGTGAGGGGCAATCTGCCTACCCCACGATGCTGGAGCTCCTCGGGGCAGGGGCCAAGTCCTTCTCAGCTCTGCATCCCCAGTTGCCATCACAATATATGACTCACAGCACCATGGACCGAATGAACAGCCCCGTAGCTGACACACAGCTCTATGCGTGCAATTCACAAATGGAAATGCCACCAAGTTCCTTTGAGTAACTGGCTCTCCCTGCACACGTGTGAATAAAAGGGTTCAGTGCCCAGGAACTGGAGTTAAGCACAAATTTGGAGTCTATCTCTATTAGAGGTAGAAAGAAAGCCCATCTGAGTATGCCTTGTGTTTAAGGCCAGCAGCGCAGCCAGGCTTCAGGGAGCGCGAGGAGGGGAACGCACGTTCGCGGGGCCCCGGGGGCAGCTCACACAGAGGATGCGGGGTGCGGGCGCTCGCCTGCAACTCAGCTGCTTCCCCTCAGGTGAGAGGAAAGATCTGAACTCACGTAGAGTCAACATCACTTGATACTCTGACAATCCTAAGTTCACTAAGCCTCTACATAATTTAGAGTTTTAGCAGCAATTTACCTCAACAAGACACGATCTAATAAAGGACAACAACAACAAAAATCAGCATGAGCTCTTCTGCCACCTAAGAAAGGGGAGGGATGGCTTTCATTTAACATCTTATAACTGTGACACACAAACACAGCCATCTTACCTCCTCCAGCGAGGCACCAGAGCAGAAGGACCTCCGGGAGCCCTGCTCACTACTTGAGACAATTACTTAAAAACCAGTGAGTATCCTCTGCACCCAGAACTATCAGGAGCTGCAGAAATAACAGACCTGAAAGGTTGGTGGGCACAGCTAACATCGTTCCATACCCTCCCGTCCAGCAATTCCAGCGCATTTTCCAAACATGACATGCCTATAAAGTCAGAACCCCCTCAACTTTAAAAGTGGGTAATTTGAGAGCCTGAATGATGGACTTGTCAAGGTCACAAAGGGTTTAATACTAAGATGTAAATAAACCTTGAAATCTTGCTTCCAACCTCTCTTCAGCCACCTTTCTGTGTATATACACACACTCCAGTCCTTTAAATCTGACCTGAAGACTTGAAAATAAATTTGACTTTGACGGATTATCCTAGGAGGGAGGTCACCGGGGCTCCAGTAAAAGCTACTGGCTGAGCGACTGCTCTGTCAAAGGGTCCTCGTCTTAGTCCGATCGCACAGAAATGACAGGAAGTGCCCCCAGTCCCAGAAGCCAGGAAGTCTATGGCATTTGTATTTTCCTCTAACCATTTATTTCGACATGTTTTGTCCCCTCTCTCTGGAAAGAGGAGCTGTTCTTGCCTGGAGCTGCTGGATGGCTTTATAAGGCTGTTCTCTTTCCTCTGCAACCTGATGCCCATTTAATGACACCCAGATATGTTACTAGAGAGTAGAGGTCAGTCCTTCAGAACTCAAGCTACACGTCAGCCTTCAATCACTGGGCCTTCCTCTGAACGAGCTGGCGCGTAGTAACGGCAAACTCCCAAGGTCAGGTCGGCAGGTGGAATTACACACCACACGCCAGCTTTCTCAAGAGACACTATGAGGGTGTCACCGCTGCTCTGGCTACTTTCGGCTCGCTCTCCACGTCTCACAAACTGAACTCGACAATCTACTCAAACAGTCTCACAGGCAGGATGTGGGCAGGGCTCCTGAGGATACCTGAGCTGACTGGCAGGAAAGGGCAGAGGACCCCAGGCTCTGGAGCTGGACTGCTGGGTTCATATCCTGATTCAGTCACTTGCAGGCTTTGCAATCTTTGTTTCGGTTCTTTGGGTCTCCTTCATCTGTCAGATCAGGGCCCTCCTCATCAGAGGATGAAAACAAACTGAGGAAACTTATATGAAGAGCTTAGGACCACCAGGCCAGGCAAACAGTAGGTGCTCAATAGATGTAAACTTTAATGATTATTCACGAAGGAAGGGGGAAAAGAAAAGGGAACTATGCTACATTTATTCCATCTCCTATACTTCTATCTACCTCTTTAAGGTTACTCTGATTTGCTTTCTTAACATGAAATTATGATGTCTTTTGAAAGCATTTGCTCTGGGCAACATTAAGTGTATGTAATGATTACTCCATAAAAAAACAACAAAAAGGCCAATGTTGTTGCTCCATTGGGAGAAAGCCTGAAAGTTAAGGTCAAGGCTGCTCTCTGGTGCTTCTGGGAGAGCTCGGTCATTCATGGGCTCACAGAGAAGTGTAAACAAGGCTGTTAAACTTTGGGAAGGTTGACAGCCAGCACAAACCTCAAATGAACCCAAAGAAGCATTCCCTTCTTTTAAAATCCTCTTTATGGCCTGAAAAGGTCAAAAAAAATTTTTTTTAATATACAAACTATTCTGACATCAGAAGAAAGAAAAAAGGGAGGAAGAAACGGATGCAAACGGCAAGCCCACGTGAGAAGAAAGGGCGTTTTCCGAGCACGAGCTGACTCCCGGCGAAGAGCTCCGATCCAGCTCCATCAGAAAAAAAAAGAACAAGGTCTTTCCACTCTAATGACTCAGGTACTAGCAGCAAATTCAGGGAGAAGACATTTAGAAGGTATGAGTTGTCATAAGTGAATCTGAAGCAGAAAGGACTTGGTATTTTTCAGAAGTCCTACTGAACTAAGAATTATAAGCAGGGTGGGGGTCACTTCAGATAGAAAGACAGAAAACATGAAAATCAATAATAGCCCCCCAAAAATGTTTTTCAATTGTAGCTCCAGGTGAAGACTGTCACCTGATTAACCTTCCTTAAAAACAAAAACAAAAAAACCCTGATTTCCCAGGCTACTCATCTGCCTTAAAAATCTTCAACATTCCTCAGAGCCTACAGGGGAGAGTCAAAAATCTCTCCAGGTGATGGAGCCCCACCTACCTTTCCAATCTTGTTTTGCCATCAGGAAAAGTCCACTCCCGCCAGACTGGCTTCCTTATTTGTTCCAGGGGAGGAACAAGCCACGCTCATTTCAGCTTTTTATCCCCAGCACCTAACACAGTGCCTGGCACACAGTTGCTCAGTAAACGGTTGCTGACTTGGGGGAAGGTAGAGCTCGGTGGTCCTGGGTTCAACCCCCAGTACTTCTGTTAAATAAGTAAGTAAGTAAATAAAACTAATCACCTCTCCCTCCCCAAATTAAAAACAAAGTAAACAAACACAACAACAGCAAAAAATGGTTGCTGATTCAGCAGAAATGTGAATGCTTTCAGGCCTGTGCTCTGTACCTCACTCCCGGGAAGCCCCTGTCCCACTGGCCCAGTGAAAACCCAGCCACTCTCCAAAGCCTCATTCAGTCCCGCCACCTCTCCTCCACGCCAGCGCCAAAGCCTCTGCCCTGGCCACGCACCCCCCCAACTCTCAACTCCTGCAGAATCCAGTCCCTTCAGACGTTTATTGCTGTGGAAACATTTCCTGTTCACCTGTTTGGTCTGCCTCACTAAACTGGGAGTTTCTGGAGGGAGGCAGGATGTTCTGAAGCGATGCAAAGCAGTGGAAAGGTTACTGATCAGTGGCGAGGCAGATCCAATTCTGTGACTTTGGGAAAACTTTCTGTAAAGCACTTAGAACGGGGCCTGGAATAGAGTCTACATGTCAATAAAGGCTCCTGCCTGCTATCCACCTCAGGGAACCTCAGTTCTCTCACTTACCAGACGGGATTAATCATAGGTCCTCTGTCTTTACGAAGACCAGGAATAACATCTGAGAAGTCTCTCGGACCATCCTTAGCACGTGGTAGCCACTCACCAGCCACAGGGCAGCTGTTACTACAAAGCCTCGTGCTGGGTGCCGAGAAAATGCTCCATCAAGGTTTACGGAATGTGTTGAATGAATGGAAAGAGAGACAGTCTGATACCAACTAGGATATTGAGGGAAACTTTTTCAGTCACTCATTCAACAGATCTTTATTAAGGGCTTATTGGAATGTCCCAGGATTTGTTCTGGGTGCTCAGAAGCTGCAGTGAAACAGGCCCTGCCCTGTGAAATGTACACTCTAAAGGGGAAGGCAGGCAACAAACAGAGGAAGGGATGGAGAAATGAAAGCTTACGTGGTATTAGGTGCAATGAAGAGGGACACAAAGCAAGGTGAGGGCAGGCTGGGGGCTGGGCAGGGGCAGGCTGCAGAGGCGGCACTGAGGCAGGGCTTCCCATCTGTAGGAGAGCTGGGGTTTATGAGATGTTCTCATCCTGAAGCCAACTCTACTCTTTCCCACAGGTCAGCCTCCAGCACCGGGAGACCCCGCTCCGCCCAAGAGGCTGCAGTCTGGGTCCTTGGGCCCCTCCTGACTCACAACAAGCTACAAACGCTGCTGAACCATCAATTACAGACTCCTTTTGAGCAGGCTGTTTGAATGGGCCACCGAGCCCCACGTAGGAGGGATCGGACCACAACCACGCCCCACGTGGAAGGGATCGGGCCATGACCACGCCCCACGTGGAAGGGATCGGGCCACAACCGTACCGCAACTGGTCTGCTCCCCAGGAAGTTCAGGTCACTGTTCTCTCCAAACAGGTAGCCTTCGGGGTGAGTTGAGTCAAACTTCTCTCCTCCCATAATGAAGTGGCTGGCAAAATAGCTTCCTAGAGATAGAAAAATCAAACAGAAACCAGTCAAAATAAACCAAGCAGAGAAAGCCAATTAGGGTAAAAAAAAATAACCCTTCAACAAATTATTTGAGCAATTTCTAACCCTAGGAGAATTGTCTTCCCTTGATTGGAGACAATGGCACCAAATAAGCAAAAGCATAGCAGTGAGAACCCAAGATACCAAATATAAAACAGATCACTGTGTTCCTTTTGACATTCTTAATTGAATCCTTACTGTGATCTGCCTACAATAGCATCAGCCAAAAGACCGGAAGGCCCCACAATGCACATTAACAAACATATCTATGTATTTCGTTTCTGATTTTTTTTCCCTTAAACTTGAAGTGGCTGTTCTCTGTTCTCCATGTCATCAGGAATCTTAACCGCAGGTATCAGCATGCATACACACACGTGCATTTCTTTGCCTAGATTTTCATAAGCCTAATGAATTTCTCAAATTCATTCACAGTACCAATGGCCAAGGTAGCAGGGACGTCAGTCATGGCAGGCTCTCTCTGCCCCACTTTGACCAGCCAGGAGGCAGGGATATTTCAACTCTGCAATAACCGGATGCAATCAGCAGCCAGGGTCAGAATCTCCATCTGCCTTATCCAGACAGACGGAGGAGCCGTGCCAGGATGTGATGGAACCTAGTGACCAAGGGAGGCTCAGGTAACACTGCACATTCCACCTGGGAACACTTTCCAAATCTGATGATTAGACGAATGCCTCCTAACCCATATTTCTATAATATAATTCTCCCAAAAAGGTAAGCTGTTCAAAGTGAATGACTCACAAAATAACATACTTTATTGATACCTCTCATATACCCCAATTCTTTTTTTTTTAATTTGTTTTCCCAATTCTTGGATAAATACAAAGAAGTTATGAATCGGCAAAAGTATTCTTTATGTGTCATCCGACTGGGATAAATGCTTACAGCAAACTCTAAAAAAAAAAAAAAAAAAAAAGAGCTTCAGCACTTTCAGCCTATGAAGAAGCCATAGCGAGGAAGGCAGAGAAGAAAATTCTAACAGAAAAAAAAAATTCTAACAGAACCAAATATTCGTTTATTCGTTTTCTGGATTTTCTACCCATGGAGCCACTCTGGGCTAGAAACACTTACTCAACAAAGCAACGTGGAGAACGTCATTCACTACAAAGGGAGGCAATCCTTTAATTAAACAACGAGCAGCGAAACAATTATTTGAGGGGAACAGCAAACCAAAACCCGAGCTATCACTTGAGAAACCCTTGAAAGTTACCCATCAAAGCTAAAACACACAGCGCAGCCATCTGCAGCGACACAACAGTGCAAGTCATCCTTTAGGGGAAGCTTAATTATCAATTATTTATGTCTCGCACTTGCTAGCCCGATTTTCCGAGTGCATAATTTATGGAGGGGGAGGTGCCTAGCTGCCTGAAGTGGAAGCAGCCATCTAGAATAATTTGTCATTTGCTGTTGAACCTTAGTAAAATGTACTAATTTCTATACACTAGAAATGAGACATGTATCATACATGAGGTGAAATCAGAAAAGGGAAAGATTTTCACGTTGACGCGTGGCCTGCCCCGATCATGCATAAAGAACGGAGAGAGGCAGGTCTGGTGCCCGGAGCTGTCCCCGCTGAGTTCAGTATGGGACACGCCGAGTCTCCAGGACCTGTGAGCAGGTCAGGTGAGGGACGCAGGGACAGTGCAATCCACGGATAATCAGCTTACACGTGGTAGTGACTGATCGTCGCAAGAGAATTACACTAACAGCTTGGGGGTTAACACGTTAAAGAAGACGACAGGGTTCTACTGGAAATACCCTTTTGGGGGGGGGGTCATGATATTAAAAGAAATTATCCAGAAAGTAAGGTAGAGCTAATTCTAGTCTTGCCTATCATTAAAAAATCAAGAGCACAAATATACAAAGAACTAGAATTAGGCAAAGAGGATTTTTCATTTCAGGAGAAGAGTCAATGCCACATTTCTGTGAAGAGTGGATCTCCCCGGGCACACTTATAAGACCCAGGCCTTACCAGGTAAAAGGAACACTCAATTTAAGACAACCAAAACGCTGCTTTTTCCTTTCTTTGGAATACACCTCTCTAATAACTTGCCCCAATGAGAAAACAAACCAGCTGGGTCGAGCTTTCTGTCTGCCCAGGCTGCCCAGAGGTGCAGACTGGTGCACAGTGACGTACAGCCACCACGTCAGAGGGCACCAACAGCAAACAACACCAACAATCCCTGGGGGAAAAACGTCTTTTGGACAATTCATATACATGTTTACTTCTGAGTGTGAACAGTTCCCTAAAATCAGAAATGGTAGGAAAATGAACTACACTGAAACACTTCCTTGCCTATTTGCTAATAGGAAAAACACACACATGACTAGTTCCCCACTATTAGTTGGCTACAATTTCTTAACCAAAACTCCTATTCAGAATTCTTTGCGGGACACACCTTGTGGTAATCATTATGCAAGATATGCAGATCAAATGATCATGTTGTACATCTTAAGCTTACACAAGGTTATATGTTAATTACATCTCAATAAAGCTGGGAGAAAAAAGAAGCTGCATCATACACAAATTATATTTAAAAAAGAAGGTGTGAGTGGGAGGGACTAGTGTTTCATGGGTATAGAGTTTCAGTTTTGCACGATGGAAAAGTTCTAGAGATCTTAACATTGAACTGTGCACTTGAAAATGGTTAAGGTGGTAAGTGTGTTATGTATGTTTAACCACAATAAAAATAAATATCAAGGGGAAAAACCCATAAGGTATGGCCCAGAATGACCAACACTAATACAAGTTCAGTATATATATTTTTAAAGTATTAAAGAAAAAAAGGCATCCAGACAGAAAAAATCAAATTACTTATAAGAGAAGAAAATTATAATAGTACTGTTCTTCCAGATCCACGTATAAAAACGTGGACACAAAATACATTTGCAAGTCACTATGCAAGCCATATATATATATAAGTTTAAATTATGTAACAGCCACAATTTGAAAAGTAAAATTAAGCAAAAAAACTGAATATATTTTATTTATCCCAATATTGGATATTCCCATATCCCAATATTTCCAAAATATTATTTCAACAGGCAGTTGATATTTTAAAAATTTTAGGCAGCCACTTACATTCTTTTATTCAACTATTCATGGAAAAAAAATACAACAGTTTGTTACTCATCATGTAAACAAAAGGAAAAATCTCAGAATTCATTATCTCAAATAATTTATCCAATGATTTAGGCTATTCAGCATATTTCTAACATCAAAGCGAAATTAAATATTGCTCAGTGGGTTCCACAATTTATGTCTTCCTCAATTAGATATTCTGATATTTGCCACCACACTATGAACTATAACATCACACAGTAAAGGGAGACTAAACCCATTTCCCAATTTTCTACGACTCTGTATTTAATGGGCACACTAAATGTTAGCAAACAAAAATTCTAATTTTAAAATAACTTTTCTTTCCAAATTTACATTATTACCAAAATACGGTCTGTCTATAGAAACAGGGTTGGGGGAAAAAACCAACTGTTTAGACCTCCAAGAAATGGCAATGTATTTACTGTCAGGTCATGGCGTGATTGCAAGTCAAAAATTTTAAAGTTTTTGAAGTCAAGGAAACTCTATATTTTATAAAACTAACAAACAAAATTCAAAGATGTTGAGCAAGCAATAAAATTTAGATAATTTGTGTAGAGTAAATGATGATGCAAATATATATATATTATTACAGTATATATTAATATATATATATAATTTTTTTAATATGGGAAGCTTCACGAATTTGTGTGTGATCTTTGTGCAGAAGTCAAGCTAATCTTCTCTGCTGCTGAAGAAAACCCAAGTAAAATACATTTTTTATTTTAGCCACTATCTCTTGTGAATTGGGAGCTTTTAAAATTAATTAATTTATTTTTTATTGAAGTACAGTCAGTTTACAGTGTTGTGTCAATTTCTGGTTACAGCAGAATGCTTCAGTCATACATGAACGTACATATATTTGTTTTCATATTCTTGTTCACCATAAGCTACTACAAGATATCGAATATAGTCCCCTGTGCTATACAGTGTAAACTTACTGACCTAGTTTATATATACCAGTCCGTATCTGCAAATCTCGACCTGTGAATTGGGAGTTTTTATTGCAAGATCTGTAATCAATCATTCCTTCTTTTTATACTTTTCTCTACTGAGGTCACAGTAAAATAAATTAGGCAGCCTATAAGTGAAAAATACTAATCTTTGATTATTTACTTTTGGACTAATGGAGTTATGTACATGATTACTGTAGAACATGGAATTGTATTTTAAAATAACTTAGTACCAAGTTAAAATATGGGAAGATTGGCTACGGAAATCTTCTCAGGTGTTCATATATTTTAAAAATCTTCACGTACGTGACATCTGAATAACATACTTTCAGCTTTAGGTCACAAAAATAAAAGGAAAGTAACAATAATGTTTTTAAACATCTCTAACTGTTCAACTCAATTCTGATGCTACAGAGCTGCTTTTCTTCTTCATGTTTTTCCTTATTTTAAAAATTACACAATACATGCCTTTTGCAAAAAAAATTAAAACATAGACGTATGTAATTTAAATAGCGATAATCCAACCCTAGCCTATGAAAAGTAACTCCATTTTTTTTAAAAGTAACTCCACTATTAACAATCAGTTTGATGCATTCCAGATTTTCCTATACACATATAAACACATTCAGGTTTTCTGTTTTGCTTTATTTTGTTTTTCACCCTAATTGGGATATTACACATATTGATCTTCCATGCTGCTTTTGTTCCCCCCTAATGTACTGTAGGCATCTTTCCATGTCTGTACTTACGGACTGACCTCATTGTTAATGGCTACATAATAACCCCTGATTGAGGGCTCACTCTGTAATAGCACTGTACTAACAAGCATTACACAGATTATTCCTCACAACCGTACAAGGTAGGTTTTTACCAATTTTTTTTTATT